CTATTGTTATGGACTTGATGGGTGCGAGGATCGGCACATAGTTGAATGCAATTTATTTTTTCCAATTCGCATAGCATGCAATATACAATAGCACATATACAGTATGTGCATTCCTGAATTACTTTATTCTATCATGCATATTCTATCATGTAGTACATGTGCCCTGAAAACATGCGGACATGTACACATATTCAGTTTGTGCTCTAAATAGGAGAGATTCTAGACTGTAAAAAATAATCTTTGAAAACTCAAAAGCTGAATAGAATAATACATTCAAATTGCACTTTCATTGTATTTAATTTTTAAAAGAATGCAATTTTTTACCATATGACTAAATGAATGGATTTATTAAAAACAGCCCCTCCCCTTTGGAATTGACACCAACAATAAGAGAATGAAAGAATAGATAGAACAATTTTGAGGGTCCTTAGCTGTCTTTCAAGGATTTGAATACATTGCGACCAATCAGAAAGCTGCGGGGGCGGGTCTAACTGGTGCTTGCATTTACAAAAATGTTAGGACTACAAAAAAACATTTTTTTAGAAAAGTCAAGGGCAGGAATATAATACAGAACACGGAACCCAGGAAGCTGACAGACGAGGACAAACAAAGACAATGGACCAGCAACAAGGGGAAAGGAGGACAGAGTGGACACAGAGACAAAGGAGAAACATATTAGGGCGGGGCAGACAATTAACACAAAGGAACAGGACAGGAAGTCAAACTAAAAATGAAGTCAAAATAAAAACAAGTACAAAAATAAAATCCACACCTTGACATTATCTAATCATGCATCATGTTTTCTATGTTTAAAAAGATATGTGAGGGGCCCATTCTGGCCCTCATGTTACATTATCAGACTAGTACGAAGATCCATCAAGGTATCAAGAATGGTATTGGATCGATTCGATCCAATACCATTCTTGATACCTTGGCTTTCAATATCTGCCAATACGCGATATAGACTAAAAATAGCATTTAAAAAGAATAAAATTGCTAACTTATTCAAATGTATTTGTTTTCATTCAAGTAATGGCAAATCAACTTTGTTTGTAGAAGTTCAAACTATCTGCTTGTAAAACGCTTTGTTGCATCTATTCAAAAGCTCAGTCATATCAGCTTAACCCATATCTGAAAAACGATGTCCAATCCAACCCCTACTATCCCCTGCCCGACTGCAGTCCCTCTGCAAGGAAAGTGTGCGCTTCTGTTTTACAGTCCCACAGTTGATCAGCTCACTCTATGGCTCAGCATCAAAGAGTGTGAAACATGAAGAGAAAGCAAGGCATGCGCACACACACACACACACGCACGCACACGCACACACACACACACACACACACACACACACATTCAGGAGACACTTCACATCCACAAGTGCTTACTCATCACCCTCTCCCTCCTTACACCACTGGCCTGTTTATGTGCTTGGCTTTGTAATGCTCTGATTACTAAAGAAGAGAGCCTGGTCCACTGGTATCACCTCATATTTTTTTCTTTTTCGACAATAAATTGCTTGTTTATTCGTGATAAGCGGACATGACCATCCAATATTAGAGTGATCACTGTTATAGACCAGAAAATGAAGTCGCCTGGGCATAGAAAATCTGCGTAATGCGAAGAGAGACACAAAAGCCCCATCATTCCTCATCACGGCTAAATCTGCATGACTAATGCTGAGATGACACGTCACTTTGTCAGATAGGCCATGTTCGCACAGCCGGTTTGTCTATACTTAAAACAAAGACAAGCATACGGACACACCTAAACTGCCTGTTATCTTACCAGCTGACACCATTTTGCTCTCGAACAATCTAGCTAATTATAATTGTTAATTAATTCTCTGCCTGCCTCCTCATCAGGAGACTAATAACCTACATTCCCATTAATTAGACCTTCAGCCCTGTGCTCTCAGGGCTGGTCTCTGTGTCCCACTCCAATCGGGCGCCAGCCAGTCCCCTGTCCCGCGACACAAACAACACGGAACACGTGTGATTAAAAATGTCTGTATGAGCGATATGTGTCATGGTGCCGCACACAGGCATTTTGGGAGAAGGTTTGTAAAACAAGCTGTTCATCCAAGATGGAGGGTCTTCAAGGCATGTGTGTTGCTGCATGGCAGAAGGAGAATGTAAATACAGTGGACATTGGATAAGTTTTGTTGATGATATAAGGACACTAATATATCTTATGAATTGTATTTAAAGTAAAAAAAAAAGGTTTTACAGTTATTGATATGTCATGGCTCATGTGTTAATATGTTCCAATATAATATAGTCATGATGATGCATTATCAGAGTATTATAGTGTCCCAAACATGACTGTAAAGAGGTTGTCCAGCAGCTAAGATTCATCCCCTGGGAAATTGTGGCAATAACTAAGAGTAATAGCACTATTAGGGCTAATAGTTGAAGTCATTCCTTGTGTTTTTTTAATTGTAATTTCTTCTGTAGTTATGTTACTCGTTGGTTAAACCTGATGTACCTACATTTTTACATAAAACATTATATTTTGTCAGTCATTTTATATTGTACAGAAAGAAACTCGTAAAAGCCAAATATCAACAAATTAGACCACATCATGCTGTCTTTATTTTATGAGGAAACATGCTATATTTAGCATACTGTACTTGCACATACGATTCTTCTTTCTGAAAAAAAGGATGTGTTATAAAATGTTTTTTATTAAAGATAAGAGAACCTTTATTCACCCTACAGTGACCAATTTGATTTCAGAGTTAACTTTTTTGCAGTTTATTAGAGAGGTTCACCATCTTCACATTTTTTTATCTTTAAAGGTGTATCACGTAATCTTTCTGCTAGTGTAGTTTGCCTCCTGCTGAGACGGAGATTTGTTTGGGCCCACGTAAACTTTCATTGATCGTGCATTAAAGCATAGACGTATTGACACCTTATTGAGTGAAGCATAAACGGTACATTGTGTACCACTTAAGAGCAGACAGTCCCATATACACAGAGTTTATAGAGCCGACTGAAAAACGACCCCACAAAGCCAAATGTAAATGAGTGGTTCAGTGTATTTAGCTGAAAGCCTTTGTGACATCTCAATCATGGTGCACTTTTTCCCTGTTCTGTTTCTGTCAGAGCTGGACACAGGGCCCACCACATACAGCCCCCTGGAGGAGCAGACGACCTGCTTTCAGATGAGCTTGTTTCTGTGCCACACTTCTCCTTGTCCGCTGTATTGTTCAGACTAGATTAACATGTTCATTCTCAGGCTGCTGCTGCTGCTGCTGCTGCCGGCTTCTCTTAGACTGGCCCAATGTTTCCAGTGTTGTGAATAGCCTATGTTCACCTGGTGTCAAAACAGTTTAAAGAGCACTTTACTTATAATGGGGAGTAAAGTATCTGGCACAATTGGACATGTAAATACAGCTCATATTTTGGCATTGAGAGGAAAAATAAATGATCTGAACATATTATTTGGGCAGATTTGTATGTGTGTTGATCGGCTGCCCTTGACAATACAACCGATGCCTGCACTCATCATAGTTAGCAGATATAAAGGAACCGTCCTCTCTGTATTCTCAGTATACGGACAGACCATGTATCATGTGTGTGCGCTCACAACCTTCAGAATTCGCTCACTGTGCTCCAGCTCAAATTTTAATGGGAGCAGAGGGATCTTTTAGCTTCCAACCAACTGGATTTTACCATTGGAACTGGCAACCCTAGTGAAAAACTCATGTCATGGTCATTTTGCTTTGATTAGATATTTGTACTGAAGCAAAGCACCAAACTTGACCCAATGCCCCATGTTATAGTGATGCATAACAAACTGGGGGCACAGATCGATCATATGTATGAATTACAAATCAAAATCTGGTGAAAAACCCTGAAAAACCCTGTTGAACATTCCCATTATGTCTCGTTTGTTTTATTTTATTTTAAATATCAGTGTAATAATATTCCTGTATAGGTCCACATCTTCTGGAAGTGCTATTAACCATTTTAAGGTAATTTCAACTTTCCTAATATGTGATCATAACGCCACCAGCCTGTCTTCAAGATGTTATTGCCTCGCCCAGAATAGCATGACTCGATTACCGCTCCACCTGACCACGTTACAAGCTAGATCTGTGTAGAGGCAACCCTGCTTTCAGTGAGAATGCATGTTTGTCCACAATAACATATGTGCAGACAAGCTGGTGCCGTAGACCAGTGGTTCCCAACCTTTGGCCCTGTGTACCGCCTCCTCAGAGTGCCCCTTGGTTTAAGGGGGTAAAACAACCATTATCAGTGCCCATTGCATTCTTGGTGGATATTTTGTTTTTAACTCATATTTCGCAATGGGTTATTTTAGTTTTTATAATTTTATATAGTTTTATTCAACTTGACTGCATGCTTGGAATAAACCAAAACTGGACCAAAAGTGTGAAGGACTTATGCTTACAGAGTGATAACCAAGTATTGTTATTGTTATTATTGCGTGATGGGTTCAATGCTTATAATAGCATAAATTGTATGGCTGCTGAGAGATTTAACTTTAGTATTATGTATTACATGCCATCGCAGCCCATGGGAACCTCTTAAAGTTAAAGGTACTCTGTGTAGTTTTAACTCCCATCTAGCATTGAAATCATATATTGTAATTTACGGTACTACGGTAGCTTCGCAGGACAATATGTCGTCTTTGAGAGTAGTCCCCAACTCTTGGTCAAACTCCTTTTTGTCTCTTATCAACCACTGTATTTCAAGATAGAGCATTGACATGGAGAGTCCTCCAGCTCTCACAGATATTTTTAAGTCGAATTCTAAGCCTATGACAACTAATAAAAAACATGGTGGAGGTGAATATTCTTAAAAAGGTCACATTTGTTATTGGTTAACATGTTTTCATTTGGAATAGCTGTAAAAATTACACAGAGTACCTTTAAGGATAAATCTTGAAAATCACCCTCGGTTGGGAAACACTGCTCTATACCTATATCACAACAGTTCTGTAGTGCACCTTTAAGTTTCTCTGCCATGTCCTTTCAGGTTCACCACTGTTTCCTCACCCAAGACACCACGACCCGTTGGCTGGTGGCTGTCCGGTTTGTGTCCACTTGTGGCAAAATGGCAGCTTGCATGGTTTGGTTTTTGAGCCGCCGTCCTCCTTCCCCTTCTCTCCCCACTCTCCGGAGACTAGTAACCCAGATTTCAAAATGAATCGCTGCCTGTTCCCCTCAATCTTTCTTCCTTTCTTTCTTTCTCTCGCCCTCCTCTGCTGGTCCTCCTCTGTGTCTTCATCTTGGAAAGAATACCACCACCTCTCCATGTCAGTCCTCCTCCTCACCCTGCCTCTGGGTTCACGGATATACTGTGCTATCTTTGTACACTTGAAAGCACCAATCTCATCCAATTCTCACAGATTTGTTTTACCGAGAGCTTTTACATTTCTTCTCACAACTTCTTTGCTGTTATTGTCTCATTTTTTTGAACGCCGTTTGGAGTTGGCGAGCCACAAGTGACATCTTTGGACGTCGCGAAAAGGAGTAGCCAAGAAAAGCAAAATCGCAAGTAATCATCTTTTTCCAACTTTTCAATGTTGCTTTACATTGTAGGCTTGATAGACTGCTCCATTTTTCTCCTCACAGGTTGTTGCTGCAGGCTTGTGTTTACTTATTCATCAAAATCTCTGTTTCATTTATCATTTACAAGCAACACTACTCAATATTTGCTGCTTTGCACTTTTCGTTGCACCCTATAGACGCTGAGGTTTTGCCAAACTTTTTTCTCTTTCTAAACAGCGCTAATTAATAACAGGGGCAGCAAGAGAAGTATGTAAGGAGAAAATGCAGCATCGGAATCGGAGCAGGCGCTGGGGGTGTGTGGTCGACATAGCAACAGGAGGCTGTCATGAGGCGAGCGTGCGGGGGTGGGGGGAGGTGGACGGTCCGTAAGTGGGACAGTAGCGCTAATCGTTCCAAGTGGTGGGTCTCAGAGGAAGCTTCTGTTTCGGCTTTAAATTAACCTCCCGTTCTCCTTCGCTATAATAAAGGTTTTTATACTTCCCCGGGATTTGCTTCACATTTCTGGATCTTTCTCGACCTCGTGCCATTCCTAGCATACATCCCACGCACCGCTAATGAAGCGCTTTTCTCATTTCTAGTCCACCGGTTGGAGCCCAAGCTGGGGTTGCATGATTTTCAGATGTAACGGTTGTGTTATGATGGTGTAAAACCACTGACCGTAAAACAAACTATATTCATGGAACTTGATCAGTACATTGGCACACTCTCACACAATCAGGCATAAATATTTCCTGGAGGTCAACAGACTTCTACAGATAACTGGTAGTCTAGCCGATAAGCAAAAATATAGGGCCAGTATTCATTTGCAGTAAGGAAAAATATTAGTGTCAAAACGTTTGATAGTAAAAAGTTTAACTTTGTTTCAATGTCTGAAGAGTGAGTTAATTTAACAAAACTAACAACAAACAGAAAAATAAATTGCTCTCAGTACATAGACTAGATGTGATGTAACGGCAAGAAAGCATGAGAGACTTTATGGAGGATAGATCTCCCAGGTCAGAGATGCTGACTTGCAAGTGTCTCGTTATTGAAGAAAATTTTGACTGAAAAAATGTATATCAAACTGAACTAATCAGACAGTGTTTAGGCACATGTACAGTAAGTTTAGGACCGAGTTCCAACATGGAATTGAAATTCCAATATATCAATATCGGCACCAAAGAGTAAGGTACCAACTGTAGTAAAAAGTTGGTACCTTACTCTAGTTCTTGAAAAATAAGTCAATTGACTTTCTTCACCTACTTCCTGCCTCCTCGCAGACCTGAACGCCTGAGTGAGGGCTCACTGCTGTTTGTTTCCATGGAAAGGTTTTTTCTTCACCAGTAACTTGCACAATATGACACAGGTTTTTCTCCATGGAGAAAGTTCTGAACATCTTCAGTTCATGTAGCATGTAGGGGAAGTGAAAGTTACATAATGCTTTAAGATAAAATTCTCATTTTGGACTTAAAGGTAACAATTATATGTGACTTGTAAATTATAAATATTGTGGAAAACACCTGATAAACCTAAAAGCTTCCCACTGAAATCTAAGGTGTACAACACACGGTTCTCCTGTTTTGCAGTGTAGTGTCCTTGCTTCGTTTCTAGCCCACTGTCAAGGTCTCTCTTTGCTCATTATGCCCTCTCTCCGGCAGGCACTATGTCCACCCCGGTCTCCCCTTCCCCGATGCTCCCTCCTCTAAACCTGGCCTCCCCCACATCCCCCCCTTCAGCTGGGACCAGTCCCCTGCCCACCCCCCTCTCCCCCCCGCCCCGCGTGCCTGTATTCCAGAGGAAGGGGGCGCTGAAACACAAGCGCATTGTGGAGGTGAAGGACCACCAGTTCACTGCACGCTTCTTCAAGCAGCCCACCTTCTGCAGCCACTGCACTGACTTCATCTGGTAAGACTATAAATACACGCCATGTATACTGAGTGTCCATCAGCCTCTTCAGGGCAGCAGTATGCACAAACATGAACCCCCCACAGATACACATTTATATATATAACACTTATCTCATTATTATGCACTGTGTGATAGACGCTCCACCACCTGTTTGTCTTTCGTGATGCATTGTCTCTGTAGATTACGTTCATTACATTCTTCCATCTTCCTCTAGAAAAACAAGTTCCAGGTCAGTGGAGTAAGAACAGATTTTGTTGCAGTATTATTTTTGAGGTTTGGGCTGCTGCACTGTGAATTGGGTGGCATTCTACCCCACCCCGACCCAGAAATGGACATAGGGGAGGAAAATGGATGGATAAAATATTTGAGTAAATGCATGACAAAATTAAGAGTGAAGTGACGCACATGGACACGCCTTTAATGTAAAAGTGTATTTTTGAATGTGCATAAAACTATCAACAAATACAATCGGGCCTGCGTGGTGCGCTGCCAACTAGTAAGCTTGAGTGTAAATACTGGTCAAAAAAAAATATGTAAAAGTAGTAGTCATAGTCATATAAAAAATAGCAATGTCGCCTTGGATAGTATTGAGATGTATCGGGATCATAGCACATGTGGTGTTATGCTAAGATGTGCATTTCGCCGGAAATTATGTCAATCATGAAGCTCCTTTGTGGTTTAAATCTCCATCACTGCCTTCTGCTCTTCCAACCATCGTTCCAAAAAGTGAAAGTGCTAAATAGCGCACCAAATTAGACATTTTTCAATGTGTTTTCTGCATTGTATAGAGATCGTTATTCTATTGAGGTCCACTGTTGGTGGATTATCTAATTGTACGTTTAAGATAGTGCAGGAGTGAACAACAGCTTACCTCTGACCATTCAACAGGCTGCTCTTCTCTTCTCTTTGCTGATGAGAGTTGTCTGTGAGATGAAGAAACAACCCCCGCTGCTTAGCAACCGAGCCGGCCCCATCTGGTCACTCGCATCCTCACCTCTGCACATGGCACACCCCCAGGAGCTCAATTAGGACACTCGGCTTTGCTTTCTCACTATCAATATTTATGCATGTTTCATGAGTGTGGGGGCTAGCTTTCTCAAACCTACACACATGCACCGAACCAATCTCTTTCCAAGTCAATCAACAGATTTTCCGTTCCTCGCTGCTCTTCGAGGTGGTGACTAGCTGAACCTATGTATTTAGCCTGAGGCAGACTACACCCTGGGCGTATGCTTGTTAGGTGCGCGGCTATTGGCTAACGTAACATTCTTACGATAATTTCCCATGGGCAATTTAGAAATACAGCACACATTTTTTTGGTCGCTGAATTCTTGAATTGAAATAACCATCTCCATTCACAATAACCCATATTTGAAAATCCAATGAGTGTCAATGATGTGATGTATTAGGCTGTGAATAGATGACATTTTATTGGGATCTGGTAGAAGTGGTTCATTTGCCTATACATAGTTCCCACATGACGTCACTACATACGGGGATTTGCCGACCCGGCGCCATTTGTATTGGCATGCTGTGGGCAAAACAATAGAAAAAGAAGCTGAAACGTGTTAATGTCGTGATAAAGTTGAAAATGGTCATCTCCTGCTGGGTCAATGGATGTTCAAATCGTGCCGGAGGTTCCGTTAAACTTGGATTTTACAGTATACCCATCATTAGACTTCATGAATGTGAGAAGACTAAGCTTTTGTCAGAACAACCACGGAGGTTATGGCTTGCGAAGATAAACAGGCAAGAAACTCCCTCAAAACACGCAAGAATATGCCCGGAGCACTTTGTGTCAGGTGCGTATCGTATCTCATAATGTGTTGACAGACGTAATTTACTCAGTACTAACTTGTGTATGCTGATATCTGGTAACTTGAGAGTTTCATTATTTAGCGTTAGATTACTTTATTATGAGGAGGATCGGTGTTGCGTCCGAGGCTCTCGAGGGCAACGTAAATGTATTAAATAGATAATAATAGTTCTATGGTGGGCTAAAACAATGTTCACAAACAGCATTGCTTCTGTAAAAAGATCTGTGTCATAAAATAAACTGCTCTTTACGCCTGGAAAAATCAGTTGCCCACCATTCACCAAAACATACGGTCAAAAACGCGGAAATAAACAATAACAGCAATCCAGAGTGTCCGTGTGGCATTAGCATTAATTAAATTAATTGTTAATATAATTAAAAATAATTAAATGGAGCTCCAACTGGTATTAAATCTAAAGTTTTTGAGAAATGTTTGCATTGCTTGTTAATTTTTGCTGCATAATTTGATCAAATATGTAAAACATGTCCGTAGCACGTTAAACTGTGGTGCCATTGTATTAATATACAATTATTTGCTCAAAAGTTGCCCTTTTTTTTTCAATTTGCGTTTGAATATCTACATTTATTCTCATTCTTCTGTTTAATGGAATGCACAAACACAGCAGCGTGCCATCAAAGATGGCGTCTCCGAGGAGGTCATGTGACATTCATTGGTCTGTGGGAACTATGTATAGTGAATGAACGCTAAGTGTCTCAATGGGCTGCGAGTTTTTACCCTGCACTTGACTGGCAATCATCCAGAGTGCAGCTCACCTCATGCTCAAAGCAGCTGCCAGAATGGAATGAGCAGTGGAAAGTGAATCAATCATCATTTTACTGTCATATAACATGATATCTCGACGTTAAAGCTGGGTATTTGATTTTCAAACAGTAATGCAGTCTCACAAACCTCTCACAAACCCATCACTAGTATGCAAGTGTTTATTGGTCACTGGCACAGCCCTTTTCAGACAGGCTATTGAAGCAGGTGGACCTTTCCCAGGATCCTGAATAATAACCCAGGTGATATATTGTGCACTTGTGTGGAATTCTCCAGGCAAGGATGGACCACCATTGTACTGCCAACCATCTCTCATCCATCCATCTCTGTTCATATAGGAGCACAGGGCTCTTTGTTTCGTGTTTCCAAGAATGAAACAATCTCATGAAAAGAAGGCAGCATAGTTGTGTTGTTAATACTAATGAGTCTGTTATACAAATGTAGACATGGAATATTGGTGAGTTCTGAAGGATATCATGTCAACTTTTTTTAGTTTTCAATCATGTAACAACAGTGTTCCCTCTTCAAAAACGGGTCTAGAATTTTCAGATCCATTCATGCTAATGTCAGGAACTTCTGGCACAAACATATAACTCTGCAGCTACAATGTTTGCAGCCGGTAATCTTTTTAATTTGAGAGAAAACAAATGGGTAGGTCATTACATGTGACTAGTTTGTTTAGACCTCATAAACCTGTCACCATTTTCAATTTACAATTTACAGAGGAATGCACATTTCTTCTTCTTTCTTACTTCTTGAACACATTACTATATTAATACAAATGTTTGCATAGGTATACATATTGGTATTTGTAGTATCTAGGCTGTTACAGTGAAGCTTTGAAATGGTGAAGTTTAAAAATTAAGGACACAGTATCTTCATCAGAAAACAAATGAATGGGCAGAACATGTTGGTTTTGGTGTCAAATACAGGGAAGTAAATACAGAGGAACTCACCCAGGTCCCATGACCCTACTTTTACTTGTTGTTGCTCACTACTGCCCTTACTGCGTAACTCTTGTGTAGTGTAACAGCAGCGTTGTGGAAAAGATGACTTTGTAATGCACATTGAGCGGATGAGCGCGTGGGCATATGGTGGGCGTGTCTGCAGGATGTGGGCCAGGGCCGGTGCCAGCAGCCTCGGGGAAACTCTCGGGACGTTTCTCCAACTGTCGCTTGGCTGTGTGGCCATTGATGGCATTTAGTTCAGGGTGAAACGGTTTCCTTCACAAATATGTCATTGCAGCAGGTCCGAAACCTGAGCTCTCACATCCCTGGGGTGGACTGTGACATTAATTAAAAACTAAAGAACATGGCCAATACAGTGGACACCCTTATTCATGGGACTTCTACTTATTCATCATTCATTACTGCTGTGGCATTTATCAACTGAGTGGAAAGGTTACAAATTTGTTACAGTTTAATGGTGAAAAAATACGGCCAAATGGTCAGATGAGAATCAGAAACAAATGTAATTGACATTTAAAAGTTAAAGGTATAGAAAATGGTGATCTTTTTCCGGGTGGATCATCAAGACTATTGGTCCTGCTAACTGTCAATCATTCTGGTGATATGTGACATAAGGTTGTCGTACGTGCTCGTAACTTGGAAGCGGAGAATCTATTCGTTTTTACTTTCTGTTTGTTTTCGCTCTCAGGTGTTTATGGTGTATATACGATTGGCATTTAAAAAACATTTCACATACTGGTGGTGAACCTGAAATGGTGGATAAAGTGCAGATCTTCTTGAAAAGTGAGCTTGTGTGAGCGATGCAGACAGCGACTTGTGAACAGAGCGTGCACGAGAAGAACTGGGCTCGTGCGCATCTCTCGCACACGTATTAGTAGGCGCATGTGCATTTTTTTAAAAAGTGGAGAGTGCGTTTCATTCCTAAAATTTGGAAAAATCCTTGTACCTTCAAGATGTTATCCATTTGTACGCTCTTTACCTCGTACGACTTGATGATATCACATTGTGGATTTGTCATATCAAGCATTTTCATCTTAAATAGCCCTATCTTCTTAGCTCTATTTGCAAGGTTGATATATATAATACTAAACAAGCTTATTTATGTACATGTAGCTTTGAAACTAATTATTGCTCCCTCCCTGAGACTGTCTCAATTAATCTTCAGATAACACAGAGTTTGTTTGTTATATCACTTCAACACAAAACCAGCTTTTGCCTTAGACTGTATATAGTTTGGCAATGCTAATCCTCTAGCTCAATGAAGCCCAACAGGGAAGTGCTCATGGACAAAGTTTTACATTTAAAGAGATCTGTGTTTAACCGCTCTCTGTGATCCTGGTGTTTTTATTTTGATATTATCTTGAATAAATCCAGATATCAGTCATAACGATTGACTTTTTGATGCCTTTTTTTGCATGCCTTAGAAACCACCTCAGCAACACTTCTGCCCTTGCTACGACAACAAATCAGAATCAGAATCCTTTTTATTGCCATGTGAGTAACAGGAAGTCACAAACTAGGAAATTGCTTTGGCTCTCGGTGCATTCAAGTTAAAGCAGAATAAAAACAAGAAGGCATGCATGAATAAAAATCTATATTAGCAAATTGGCTCCAGCTAGCTTATGTTCAAATTGTCTTCTTCCGCTTTCGGCAAACACTCCGGTGACATCAGCACTCACTCAGTCCACTCCTACTGTAATATACGCACTATGGTTTTGGCCCATTTGATGCACACAGACTGTCAAATCAGCATTTTTCTTGTCAACGCACAATTTTGTTACAACGCAATGAAAACTTCTTACGTTTCATTGAGAAGTGATAAGAGTGTGATTGTTACTCAGTAGTGTAAGCTTGAATAGTTTCACTGTGGCTTGGGCTGTTTGGCTAGTTTCGCCTACGGATATAAAATTATTTGCAACACATACAGAAGCAGCACTAGCAACATATTTGTAACTTTTCTGGAGAAGGGTCCATTGGCTTTTCTACAGCTTTTTTGTTACTTAATATACACAGTGCTCATATCAATACTAGATCCACCCCACTTGTGTTGGATTACAACTGCTTTTGTTGCTATAGACAAAGTGCCAGACATATGTTTAAATGTGTTAGCTTTTTTTCCGTGCAGCCCTTTGGGAACTTGTTTTATAGAATGTGCTATATATATATATATATATATATATACAAAAAGAAGCAGATTGTTAAAAATGGAACACTCTTACTGTAAGTTGGGTCACCTCTCCGCAGACCCCTCCTGTCTTGCTCGTTCACGGAGATTGAAAAGTTTAGTCTGTGTGCCATAAATATCCCACCTTAATATTAGTGATTGAACGCTGGGGTTCGAGGAAATGACTGTTATTTCTGCTGGTTTGTACCCTCTAAATAGTGTGAAAGAGGCTGAAATCAAGGGCGAGAGGATAGAGGACACGACAAAGGAACTATTATCCACTCAGGCAGGCTTCATGTTGAGGAGGCTCCACTCTGCGACAGTGACTCTTTATGACAGAGGTCACCACTACACAATATTGAATTTAACACAGTCCATCCTTTATCACTCTATATCCACTCTTATATTTACCACATGGTCCATTGTATGCGCACTGTGAGGCCAGTTGAAGCTGGCTCTCTTATGCTCTCTGCTGGTAGAGAGGAGAAATGGTCTAATGGAGACTTGAATGCAAATGAAGAACGCGATTACCCCTGTGCGAAACATCTTCAATTATTTGGGAGTCACATATTGAACCGAAGCCTGATGAGCGATTATGGTCACTTTAAGTCTTGTCTTATTGCGATTGTTGTGGCCGGTTTGTTGTTTCTTCTGATTTCTCTAAAGCTCCACTTCTAAAAGCTGATGCTCCAACAGACAGGCTACTGCTGAGTGGACTCTTTAGTCAATCAATGGCTTTAATTATTCAATTACAGCTCTAAGGAGAGGCAGGAAGCTCGTCAGCAGCGCTCGGTGGAATCTGGAGTAATTGTGTTGGTCGTGTGTGAATATACAGCTCTACGTCAGTGAATTACAATGAGGGACAGAGGCGGCTGTGTCTGAGTTTAAAGATGCACCATGTGGCACTGTGTGCTATTAAAGCATGTTTTATGTTGCTTTGATTATGTTGAGCCATGTGCTTGTCTCCATGGAGATATCAAAATGTCAAAATGATACCAAATGCCATTTTGATTTTGTGAAATATTTAAAGCAAAACAGAAAAACTGAATAGAAGAACCTAGTGATATGAGATGTTCAAAATGCATCCAGGCACATATACATTTAAGATAAATTAATCTATTTACAGGTACTGTAATTCAAGTGAGCGACTAATATATGACAGACCTATTAGACACAAAGTGAGATACATCAGGCCTGTATTTGGTATAATGTCGATCATGGGCTCATTGCTTGTGCAAACCACAAATACAAATAGAATTTTTTTAATATGGAAAAAATCATCAAAGTCATAAATAACAAAGGGTTCACATTTGAAGTTGTATTACAAAAATATATACAATTTTGAACTAAATTTTAATTTTTTGAATTTCACCTGTTTTTTGCTCAATTTTTTCTATTTGGTCGTTTAAAAAGAAAGTAAAAACGACACTGGAAAAACAGTATGTTTAGTTTGAGTGCAGATAGCGAATAACTAAGCGTTGCATTTCCTAACATGTAAAAATATCTATAGCTGATTATATTTTGAACTGTGTATGACAGAAAGTGAAATGAAATGAAATGAAATGAAATTAAATGACAGAAAGTGTTATTAATATTTTAATCCAACACTAGTAGACCCTCTGGACTCGCATTGATTTGCTTCTTTGACCTGTTGTGGACTGGAACAGGACTGAGCCGTTTGGAGGCAAAGACAAATTGAGTTTGGTTCCTTAGCGCAGTCTGATTAATCCGTCAATGTAAATATGGTGATTTGCCTTCCCTGGGAGAAAAATATGCAAAAAACATTGATCCATTTCATTTGAAACGCTACAAAATTGACTGTGAACCGTCTCACCAATTGTGTTTACATTGCACATTTTCTAATTGAGTGAACACCACTTGGAGAAGGAGATTGAACGTTTATCTAGGTCTTTTTGGATAAAAAAAACATGCATTAATAAGACATAGACATACACATATTAAATGCAATAATTAGTTGTGTATTTAAACATTTCCTTAGAGACCATTGCTTTGCCTTGGGATGTTCTATTTCATCTTTATGAGACGTTAGGAAGACACGGTGTACCTCTGTGTGCGCTGAATCCCAACGATCGGGGTGAGCCACAAAAACTTTTAATATTTTTTTTTCCTTCAAAGTTGAACTGTATTCGAGACGGAATGGTTGGGTTTAAAACATCTGAGCAGACACCACAGTTTTCGGCACTTTTTGATGACAATGGATTTTCTCTAAACAGCTATTGCACCTAAAGCTGTTGTCGTGTCTCTGTCATTTTCTCCAATACTCCACCGGCAGCAAAAATGTTTTCTGTTTTAATCCCCCCACCTCTCCCTCACCCCACTTCCTCTCTTTCACACTCTCTTTCCTCCTATTGAACGGTGATGTAGTCTATAGTGTCTTGTACCGGAAAGAACACATGTCATGCAGCACATGGGGTCATAGCATTTTTATAGTTCTAGGATTATGACCAAGCACAAGCTGATGCGTTCAAGTGCATGGGATATTCCAGCACTGTAGCTTGTGATGCCCAGTTCCTGACAACAATGCTCAATGGAATTAATAGTTTGAATATGTTTATTTTGCTGCTGTCAAAGTGTGTTTGTTTGTGTTGGAAATTATCGCTCGGATGTTTGAATACTCGTCTGAAGTTACCATCGGAAAATAGGAACTGATGAGTTTACTAAAAATGTGAAACGGTTTTCAGAAGCTACTTTATTCCACTACCAAAGAAATTGATGTTGATAAACTCTATTATTATAAGATGCTGCCTGAATGTAGTCTCAATCTCTGTTTGGATGAAAAAGGTTTATGTGAGTGTATGTACAAACACTATCTATTTTTCCAGCTTTTGAACAGTTGAATGAGTGTAATAATTTAACAAATCATGACAAAGACATTTAACAGCCCACTAAAAGACTTGTGTTTACACTTGGATGAGCTTAACTGTAGAAAGATGCGTATGCTTTAACTGTTACATGGGGACCGGCCAGAGGGGCAGGTCTGAGGATTTGAGACCCCGCACAGGTGCATAAGGCACAAGCAAAACAGAAATAATGAAGGTGCCAGAAGGTGAAGGAACTTGGCGTGCCTGAATTGCGAGCCAATAAGGATCCGTTAATATACGATGTAATGTGAGTCATTTTTCAGAGTCAGAACACGAGCCACAGAATTCTGAATGAGCTGCAGCTGCAGGAGAGCGTACAGAGAAGAGGGTGGTGCAATCTAATCTTATGGAAAAGTATTTGGGCATCAGTACAGGCAATACTACACTGAGCGTGCATGTTATATTTATAATATGTAGCTCAATGAATACGTCAATTGTGGGTCTAAACTGTATTTTGCTCAGCAAGAGTGGTCCACTCTTTTTTGGTCTGAAAAGTCAGATCTTAAGATGTGACAGATACATGTTTGTGAAAACCAATGATAAAACCAAACTATTTTGGTTGAGTTAACTTGGGACTAACCATTTTATCAGTTTGCCAATCGACTCTGCAGATTTCAGATGTTTGTAAACATGTTTTAATGTTTTAATCATTGGTTTACTGCTTCAGACACCACCTCATTGTGTCAAACTTAATGCAACAGCATTATATCGTTATACCTCATTGTAAGCTCAAAATGTACCTGTAGTATTTCACATCTGTTAATGCTGAATGTAAAGACCTCAAGATGAAGCTAAATGTTTCCCAAGGCACTGATCATAAACACAAGTCATTCATCCATATTCATGCCGTCTTCATGTCGTTTTAGAGCTTACAGCCTCTAGAATTCATTAGCTCGTGAGAATATAAGCAATCATCATTCAGGTGTCTAAACATAAAGCAAATCTGTAATCTACAGAATCCCAAAAATTGGTAACGGTATTGGCACCAAAAAACCCAAATCTGTTGGTCCCTATGTTTTGAAATCTATGATCTAGTTAGATGGATGTTATTACATTACATACAGATTCATGTTTTGAAAGTTAGGTACCCCAGCTTTAAGTAAAATGCTATTGTTCATTCCTCTTTGTCTCTCAGGGGCATCGGCAAACAAGGATTCCAATGTCAAGGTAAGATAGCCACTGTTTTTGCAATCGTGTCGTCTCAGGGCTATTCCCCCAGCCGTGTCCTCTAAAGCCGTCCTCTCCTTGCTCTTGTTTTTCTTTCTTCAGTTTGCAGTTTCGTGGTGCACAAACGATGTCACGAGTTTGTGACCTTCACTTGCCCCGGCTCGGTGACGGCTCCGCGGCCAGATGTGAGCCTATACCCCCCCCTCCCTCCATCCCTCTCCCCTCAACTCACAGCCGCTCATGCTCACCATGTCCTTTGTGTCATCATCATTACATTTAACCAGCTGCTTCTTGCTGCCAATACGTGCCAATGAGTCATCCATCAGCGGGAGTCTGGCTGTAGTTCAACCGTGACACGCAATAATCGTGTGTCATCGTACAAGGCCAAAGGGACAAGGTATAGAGAGATTTAGGGGAAGGGGCGTGAGAGGTGACAGTCGGAGTCCATCTGTCTCAATAGGCTGGCTTCATCTATTTATATGATTTATTTATTGTTTTTCTCATAGGGGCAGATACAACATCTAAGACCGCTTTTAACCACTTAGATTTTGATGTATGTATTATTGATTTAGGAAGCTTGAATAGGTTGCGTTCATGTGACACCAAACATTACAAAGAGGCCATAGTTTAGATTTGTAGTGTGTTTAGAGGTAATCTGTCTGTGATTTATAGGCTAATCCACATGAAACGAAACATAGTCACACAGTTTGACTTCTTCTTTGTCAGGACATACAGTATAAACTATGACCAAATTATTGTACCATCATAATGTCTAGAAGTGGTGACAATATTCAAAAACATATGCATGATGTTGGACAGAAAGGAATTTCAGACATGAGAATAATAAGCAGCATTTGTGAATCTTATCTTTAAAAATGTGCACAATTTCTTTAAATATGGCCTGTTTTTGTATTGGCACCTGCCTTCCAACTGAATTTTTTTTTTTTAAATGGTATAGCCCTTAATCACAACAGTAGTCGTCAGAGGACTTCACAAACTTGTCAGATCAGAGAACCAAACACAGGAAATGCAATAATATTAAACACAATAGGAGCCATGGGTTTATCGTTTTGAGTGTAGTCCATAGAATTTCCCGTATATAGATGTCCATGATATTGAATTCTATAGAACAGAATGCATGTAAATGTTTTTTTTTTTTTTTTTCTACAGCGCAACTAAAGGACGTATTCAAAAATCAATCAATAGAAAATTATAAATTACCAAATATTCATGTAATTGAAAGAAACTGTGTGTTTTAATATCATGGAAACAAATCCATTAATGTGTGGTCCCCTCTTTGAGTCCATAAGTATCTCCAAGACTTCTTTCAAATCCGGTGTATCCTATTATCATATGGATTCATAGATTCAGGTCTATTAAACATTTACTGCATGGTATACAAAATGAAAGTTGTAAGAAGTGTTAGAATCACGCACTAACAGACAGTGTTGGCGTGTAACGGAATACATGTAAGCCGTTACATAATCAGAATATTCTATTTGACTAACTGTAGTCCGTTGCAGTTACTACTTTAAAGTCTAGTAGTAGTATAACATTATGATAAGGTTAAATCTCATGTTTAAAATATACCTCCTCTTCTCCCATTGGTCCGACTTGCTTTGAATGAGACCTGGCACATTCAACCAATCACAGTGCAGTCCTATAAAGCCACGTAGAAAAGCTGGGTAAAACATCTTGATCAAATTGAAAAACCAGGATCAAAGAAAATTCTTCAAAGAGAAAACCTCTGATAGAGCGTTCTAAATTTCAAATATTGTGATTGTTGGAACTACCCTCATAAATGTGAAAGGTGTCAAGCATTTGTGGAATTCACTTGTGTCTATTTCTCTGGTCCATATACTATATTGATGCAGAAGGAAAAATACCTCTCGCCTCCATCTGAGCGAGACACTTAAGCAGGTTTTACAGTCTGAGAACAGCCATCGCATCAAGAGCTTTCCATTTATATATGTCCTCTGCTGCTGTAAAGACGAGAGTATGGGCGAAGGCGGTCAAGAGGAACATGTTTGCACCATGTGACCGCTCCGTGTCGTAAAGGGGAGATCCCAAGAAGCTAATAATGCCTTCATTTCAGATGGGAGGGGGCTGCGTATCATGAGAGACGTTGAGTTTTTTTTAACTGAGGAAGCATTGTTTCATTGGAGGGCGACTTGTCTACTCGTTGTCAGCTCATACACTCACATTCATTTTGTTGACGTCATTGTTAGCACTGCTTTTTAAAACCTTTGCAAACAAATGTACAATACGACACAATATACTTCCATTTGTTTCTTTATACTGAGATGAGAGACGAATTTGTGAGCAGATGTTGTTTTCCATTTTCATTTTGTTTGGCCCATATACATTATTAAGCTTATTAGATTATGCTGACGTATTCTACTGTTAATTGGAAATGTAGTTAATATGTACGGAATATGACAGTCATTTTTTTCTCTCCACTATTTATTAAATGTTTGTCACAAAACGTGTAAAGGTACTTTCCTGCATGTCGTAAATGGTCATTATTGTTGTAAAACTGATGGTGGGAGAAGCACCTTTCTCTCCATATGCTCCTTGTAAATGAAATGCTGGTGCTGATCTCATTCACGAGGAAACTAAAGACTCAAACATCTAGACTTTCTCTTCCATGGATCTTTGGATGTGTCTGTATTTGTTAAATGTCTTGTTGAGTATGTTGAGGACTTTATTCTTTCCACTGTAAGGAAATGTCAGTGTTGCCGCGCACATTGGGGGCACTGCCTCATATGAAATGTGCTATACAAATACATTTCATTCCATTCCCACAGGTCTGCAGAGCTGTTTGTGTGATAAACATGATTCCTCACTTGCATTCATACTGTATCGTACAGTCACAATCCCCCTGGACAAATGTAATTGGATTCTCCATAAATACCACTCTGATCATTGCTCCACTTTAGAGCTGCAAATGTGACTGCAGTTTTGGGAGAAAAAAAAAATCTTTTGAGATTATAACTTGACTTTATGATTTATGTCTTCAATAGAAATAAGCAAAACTAGAGATAAGAAAACCATTATTCATCCAACAGTTGGGAAATAGTCATATATAGTTTGTTCAAGCACAGAAAACTTTAGTTAGGCTGAAATCTAATTTGATTTGTTTTGGGTAATTTTAGGGTCCACATTTTAGCCCCTAATTAAGAAATGCATTCATGAATCCTGTTAGAGGCGGGTTATTGATTGTATGCACGCAGCTATGCATCATTATGATTAGTTAAAAACGCTTCTTATCCGTGTTGTTGAAGTTTCATAACATTTATCATACCGCTGATCCACCTCCACATCTGGTTTTTCCTTATGTATTGTTTACGTAAATGCATCTGCGTTGTACAAATACTAACAATACTTTCTTTGCATTTTAGGACCTGAAAAGTCGACACACGTTCAAAGTGCAAACATACTCCAGTCCGACGTTCTGTGACCACTGCGGCTCCCTGCTCTACGGCCTCATCCACCAGGGCATGAAGTGCACCAGTGAGTACCTCGCTCTGCACTCAGGGGATGGACATTACCATGCTAGGTAGATTTATTTTTGATTGGGTGAGACAATTAATCCAAGTCCAATAATGAAATAAAAATCAGGGTAAAGATGTTATATGAAACCACTGTTGGTCCATTACCTTAAAGGGGCCGTATGTAACATGCACTCCTAGTGGTCTAATAAAGTCATTGCAACTACAATCACACTTTTTTCTTGCCAGAATCCTCCTGCCTGTGACATATCTGATTATTGAGGCACCTGCTGGGAAATGGAGAGAAGTAGCACAAATTCTGTGTATTTCATATTCATTTAAACAAAATTGTTGGTGCAAAACCAGTTAAAATTAATCTAACAAACAGTCACCCCAAATGAGAGCCTCATTCTGCTCTCTGCGCTCTTTGGAATATCTACCTGCAAACTGTAAACATAAATATTATAAAATACTATGGAAATCATGTTAATTGTATTTTTAATCAATGATGACGCCGCTCTAAACTTTTGTTCAGAAAAGGCACATATGTATGTTCAAATTAAAATATTCTCACGGCCTATTTAAGCTGATGTGTTTCAGGTCTTCTTTATAGTGATAATCTATGACACCTCATTCTTACAAATTGAAAGCATTTGTTCTAAAAGTCAGGGCAGAGACTCGGTGTAAGAGAAAACAAGAGTCTCAAGTACTGTCACAACCACTCAAAAATGGAAATGCTGTGAAAATGTCCCCTTTGAGATACAGGTTTTTACAAATGTCTATTTTTACCTGGTTCGGTTGTAAACATAAATTATAGTTTTGCATTGATCAAGTAATACTCCTACTTTTTGTCCAGTTTCTGTAATTCTAGTCAGTACATATCTATACATGCTCAAATTACATATGAAGTCTAGTTTTGACACTGGTTTTAATCAGGATTAATTACAAAATAGGTGGTTTCAAGGAAGTGTTTCAAGCTATTTTTGTTGGAGTATAAACACAGAATTTAATTGCTGCACCTTCTACACATTGTGGATTTTGACTTTATTCCGTTGCAAACACATCCACTTGAGATTGCCAATGTTCAGAGATATTTGATTAGAACCACACCAGAAATTATTCATATTATTTCATGATTTATAGCTGATTTGAAAGCTTCACGAGACAAACTGCTTTTTGGAGTTTCCCGTGAAGTTCAGCCCAAAATAATAAATAACCATTTCTTTCAAAAACATCCAGATAATGAAGCATCTTGACACGGCTGGATGCAGCAACACTATTTTTCTACTGAAGCCAACCGCCTTTGATGAATAATTCTGACTGATAGTTTTGCGTTGTCTTTAGAGCTGCTTTCTCTCTGGCTCCGTCTTTGTTTGGTCTAGTACTTCCTGATTTAGTTCATTCTCTTAATATTAGACATGGTTTAAATGTTTAATTTAATTTTGATTTAATTTTGATTTAATTAAGATCAATTAAGATTTATGCAGGTATTTGGTGAAAGTTACTTAACTGCAAAGAATGAATATTTAGTCAAAGTATTTGCCTTGTTTTTTATAATTTTGTTTTTTATTATTACATTTCTATCACACATAGTTTACATAAATAACTAAAAGATCAAAGCCAAAAAAAGTATATATATAAAAATAATAACAGTAAATACATAAAATCATATATTTAATAAAAATTACATAATACATTTACATTGTTTATGACATTTCTGACAACTGCTTAAAAATTCTTCTTGTGTAATGTGCAAACTACAACTACCAACTTGTTTAAAAAAGTTTTACTCCCTGCTCCTGTACTTTAAAGTAAGTGTCATCTGTCATGAAAATAGAGTTGCTGTTCTTCCTCTGTTCAAATGTCATCCATACATTCACTTTCGGTACAAGCCCTTAATTCTATACATATTAACACTAAAGAAAGGATTGTAAATTCAAAGTGTCTGTGTTTGAGGCTGTGACATGAACGTGCATCGGCGCTGTGAGACCAGTGTTCCCAGTCTGTGCGGACAAGACCACACTGAGAAGAGGGGCCGCATCCATCTGACCATCCGCGGAGAAGCCGAGGACGTGTACGTCACAGGTCAGCGCTGCTACAAAAACCACTACTAATGTTTGTCGGAGTGATTGGAATGAAGCCCGTCACTACAACACCATCTGACCATCATTAAGCCTGGACAAAAGAATCTCTGGTTGAAACATAATTCAACTGATACAAGTAACAAATACATGCGTCATTGAAAATATCTGTATTTGCATTTTATATGGTGTGCTTTAAGCCATAGTTACTGTACGTGGCACTTGGCACATAATATTCATTTGCATTTCCTCTTTGGTTATTCCAATAGTTATATATTACACTGGGTAACAAAAAAATATGTTTTGAAAATAGTCCAGGGTTTTCCAGCTGAATTAGACTAATTTTGATGCTCTGAGTCCGAAAATGACCTTGGTTTTGCTCAATCAGGTCAGGATTTTTTGCTACAGAAATATTTTTTTTAATCGATTTTGCGTAAAAAAACACATTTCTGCGGATCATCAGCTGAGAAACCCTTGAAGTTTTTTCCGTTATCCTCAAGAAATAAAAGTCAACGTATCCAAAGTCATTCAGTTTTTATTTACTCCATCAAATTTGATAAGCAGAATTCATAATAACTTAGACGTACGTAATCCGTAACACTATGGCTGTATCTCAAAAAATTCATGTGATATTTGGACTCAGAACACCAAAATTAGTCTAAATCAGTTGAGAAACCCCTGACCATTTTTTGGCTGTCAACTTGTGTTATTTTTCCAGTGTTTCTCAAACTGGTATGATTTGGTTCATCAGTTGTAATTTAGAAATTAGAATACTTACAATGTGAAACTAATATATGACAGACTTTTTACAAGTGAGATACAGCAAGCTTTCATGCGTTATAATGTTGATAATTATGATTCACAGCTTGTAAAAACTCCAAAGAAATCATCCCAGAACGTTTCTGAATTACAGAGATGAATGTACTCTAATGTAATGTTTTGAACAATATTCTAATTTTCCAGGTTTAATATCAAGTTTTTATTGTTTCAGAGCCACGTACAGGGAATTTTAGCAACTTTAGAAGCTAGCTTAATTCATCTTATTAGGGGCCAAACGGTTGAGAATGAGCACAGTCGGCCTCTGACCACAACATGCCCCTTTTACAATAAACTATGCATGGTGTGTTGAGTGTCTTGCTCAAGAACACAATCCCAGAATTTGGTGGTGATGGACTTAACTCAATGAATAACAAAACAGTTAAAATGACCAAACTGAAATTGCATATTGTAAAAATGATTCTCAGAAATGCAAAGCACATTCGGCTATTGTTGTCCTTTGCATCTTTCCGCTAACACTGCACATGAGGCCGTGCCCAAAACAAAAGCTTGGTTACCGGTGTAATGAAGGGTTGGGCCGGCCTGTCCTCTTTAATCACATCTCCTCTCTTCTCAGTGAGGGAAGCTCGTAACCTGATGCCCATGGACCCTAATGGCCTGTCAGACCCCTACGTTAAACTCAAATTGATTCCAGACCCGAAGAGCCACAGCAAACAGAAGACCAAGACCATCCGCTCCACTCTCAATCCGGTGTGGAATGAGAGCTTCACCTTGTGAGTTTGAACTTCACCTCCAAAGTTTGCCTCTGGCGCTGCTGAAAAAAGTACTTTCAGATAAGATGTGCCGCATTGAGTCAAGATTTGATTAAAGCTGGGGTGCGTAACTTTTATATTTTGTATATTTTCATATGTATTGTTCCAACAGAAAAAAGCTGTCACAATGAAACAACAAGGATAAATATTCCCATTTATACTGTATATTGTGGGTTCCAATAAAAAATAAAAAAATGGAATCAATCATGCTGTATTATAAAATACGTTATCTTATGAGAGCTGATTTCACTTTTCTGTCTGAAAATCTCTGTCACATCTTTACATCAGTGACAAATATAGTACATGTGAAAACTGGACAATGCTTTTGAACTGTTGGCGTTCATCTCAGTTAAAGTTGTTGCCATTTCCCGCCAATATAATTCTACAACCTGGGACATCATCAGTTGGTCTGACCTGTGGAGAATCCCACAGCCAAGGCTCAGCTTCTTCATTTGCACAATCTATGACACGCTTCCTTGCCTTCGTAACCTTCAACTGTGTTTTGGCAAAATGAGGAGTTATGTTCACTTTGTAACACCCACACTGCACATCCTCTCAGGCTGCAAGACTGCACTCTTGCAGGCAGTGGCGTTCCAAGGGTACCCCCGGGGCCCCAGGCAATAGAGACCTTGGGGGCCCCGATTCCGACCACCATCCATCCATCCATTTTATACCCCTTACAAAATTTCATTTGGTCCTTGGTGTTTATATAGTCTACATAAACACCAAAGACCAAATGAAAGCTTAGGCTCTTAGCTTTCACTTGTGTTTACCTTTTACCGTTCTTGAGCAATCTGTCATATAATGTAATATAAATGTTTTAATCCAAAACATAGGTCACACTCAGATTCAAACCCGGGTCGTCACGGCTTAAATGCTGCAACCTAACCACTAGACCACTTTAACGAGAAGTTTTTATCTAGCAACTGCAGGTAGCTGTTGTAGCCTGTACAAGTCGACCGCTTGTGTCAAATCAGTCGGCCCTTGGGGGCCCCCTGACGGTTTGGGAGCCCCAGGCGGCTGCCTGCCTTGCCCAATGGCAAGGGACGCCTCTGCTTGCAGGGACGATACCGAAGGCACCACGATCAGGTCCTGAGGAAGCTGGCAGGTTCTTGTAGGATGCAAAGCAGCAAGCACCTTCTAGCACCAACAAAACTCCACATCAACTTTGTCAAGGAAGGGAAAGGGAAGAAACACTCCAAGCTGAGGGGGACGGAAAGGCTCTTCCTCCCTGATCAGGAGTGGGACATGAGAGTTGACCTCGACAAATAACTCCCGAGTGTTCCCGAGTGAAATGGCCATCACATCTCTCCGTCCTGACATCTTTGTGTGGTCCTCCAAAGCAAAAGCAGTGCACCTCATCAAACTCACCGTACCATCAGAGGGAGAGATCGAGGCTGCTTTTGAGCACCAGAAAGCAAAGTATGCTGAGCTGGCTGCTGAGTGCCGAGAGGCTGGCTGGAAAACTACAATCTATCTTGTGGAGGTCAGTTTGCAGAGGATTTGTGGCAAATTCAATGACACGTCTTTTGAGGGACGCAGGAGCAACGGGAAGGGGGCTGCGAAAGGCCACCAAAGGACTTTTGGAGGAGGCTGAAAAAAAAAGCTTCTGGCTGTGGTTAAGGAGGAAGGATTGAGCTGGGGTGAAGAACACCTAACCCCAATAACAGCTGCAGGGGATAACACCTAGCTACGGGGGTGACACAGGAGACGTCCCTGTCTCTGCACCGACACCAGGAGACGTTCCAGGATTAAAGGGGCGAAGCGTTGATGAATGGTGGCTCCTGGCTGAGGACCCTGCAGTCGATCCATGGGCACTGGAGGATGTGCGACATACAGCAATACCCAGCAGCAAATAACATCCACCTGCTCTCTACTGAACAATGTAATTTTATTGTACTTCTAAAATGTGAACAAATCAGACAAACACATGCTGTCTACATCTTACTGGAAAACACGTTACTGTAGCTTGTGCATATTTGTATAAAAGAGCCCTGGGAGTCACTTTTTTGATGCTTTGGGCTGATTGGCTGAATGAAGGTCCTCTTTTTTTCACTTCTCTGTCTGAAAAAGCCGATCTAAAAAAGGCCAAAAACACATGCAAGTGAAAACACAGTGACAGAACCTGCAGATAACATTTTTGTGGTTTGATTTGATTTAAATACTGTACTTCAAAAGTTGAAAGTTAGTTCACCCCAGCTTAGTTTTATTAAACACGGTTCGATATGAAATGATTAACCTTGAATTCAGATATGCCAGCAGACACAGATTCCCGGTTGCCATGTAGAGTAGCCCGCCTGAGCCTCTACACTTGTACTATGAGGCTGATTATTGAGCATCTTGTGTATTTTTTGCTCTAAACAATGTTCTCTGTGCCTCTTTGTGCTCCGCTGGGATGTTGACTTTGTGTTTCCACTTTGCTCCAGTTCAGTGCGCGGACACCAGTGGGACCGGCGCCTGTCAGTAGAGGTGTGGGACTGGGACCGCACTTCCCGGAATGACTTCATGGGGGCGCTGTCCTTTGGAGTGAGTGAGATTTTCAGACGGCCCATCTGCGGCTGGTTCAAGCTCTTGGCTCAGGACGAAGGAGAGTATTACAACATCCCTGTGCCCGACCCGGATCTGGAGGTACGAACTGGTGTGTAGGGTTGTAATTGAGTTGAGAAATGTAATTGGTCCTGTGCATCAACTAGTGACTAAAATGGACCAATGTGAGGAATATCTGAGCTGCTGAAGTTTTAGGCCTGGTGTAAACCTATAGATTGACCTCTAGTTGTTTCATTCCTGCTTCATAGGTCACACAGTATAAATATATTTTGTCTCTAAATTTGACCCAAAATAAATGTAGTCCTTTTTTAGATCTTAGTTTAGTCCTGAATTATGCCTATTGTTCCTCGTTGACTGAATCGGTGTAGTAGTTTTTAGGTTGAGGGGTGATGTAACCATTGTTTTAACTAATTAAGATCTGTTCAATAATGAAATAAGTAAGTAAGTAAGTCTTCTTTATTTATAAAAAAGAAGTCAAAAAGTGCTTTACACTTGTTCTGGGAATTTGTCCCTCACTCCACACAGAGATGGGAGTGGCGGCGCTATACAGTACAGGAGGCACATACCAGACCTATTGTATTTATTTTTTGTGGTAGAGAAACCGGAGCACCCCCGGAGGAAACCTAGGCAGACACAGGGAGAACATGCAAACTCCACACAGAAAGGCTTGGAGGTGGAATTGAACCCTAATGGCTGTGAGGCACAAGCGCTAACCACTGCATCACTGTGCCGTCCAAATGCTGTTTTGTTTCTGTATAAGGCCTTTCATCTTTTATAAACATTGTCTTTATTTAGGCTTAATTTAAACCAGGTGAATGTCTTATTTAGGGATTTAAAAACAGTTCCCTTTGCCTCTCCTGTAAAAATGTATCTTATTCATTTTGATTTTAAGTCCTGAATATGAAAATAGCTTCATAGGAAGTGTTACCCTGCCTGAACTGTGGGCAGGACCAGTTCTCCGTGCTAATCACAATTTATCCTTGAGCCTCGTTGCTATGGCTTTTTAGGCGTAAAATGATCTGCATATAATAAACAACATCTGTCACCATTGCATTGGGTCACTATTTTGAACTGTCCCTCTGCTCAGGATTTGCCTAAAAAAAACGCTCAGAGATTTATGCTGCGGCTCTGTGCTAAATAATGAGATAATAAATAATGTCCTGGCTGTAGCGTTACTGCGGCCGCTCACACAGCACTGCAAAAAGAAATATGTGTGAGTTAAAGGGCTTGGATTCTGGTTTCACTAGTTTTAAATGAAGATTGATTTTGTTAGAGGAGGTAGATCAGTGGTTTCCAAGGTTTTAAGTCTCAATGACAAGACACGTCCAATTGCCTGCTTTCTCATTCTACAATAATTATATCATAATTTAAAATAAGCAGCGGCTTGTGTAAATCTACAGAATAAATGTTCACAAAAAATGTTGAAGCTCATTACTCAACAAACTCCACACACCGAAATACACTGTATGTCTGTACGGACCTCTTCTGGTGAGAGATTTTTGTTGTTTCTTTGCCTTGAAGTAGCTTGTCTGTCTTACATCATTTACCACGTTACATATACATGTATTTGGAGAAAAATTGTAGATAGAGTTACTAGTGAAGAGCTCAGAGTGGAGTAACTGCTTCTCAACTTAGAAAGGTTCGTGGGAGACCCCTGATTTGAATGCCACCAGAAAGCCTCGCTAGGGAGGGGTCCTGACCATGTCCCCAGGGAGTAACCAGGACATGCTCTGCAGGGTCAGCAACAGTTAATTATATTTTTTCAGCATGTAAAACTGAAACTTAAGCGCTAGTAACTCCATGTGAGATGTGTTTTACATATACAGTAATTGCCTTTATTGCCTTGTGCAATTTTCCAGCTTTGAGGGTTCTGCATGAATCACACAGTACATGAAAAAGTCTTATTTAATTCAAGCTACCTGAGAACGCTGTGAGATTCCCCCAGAGAAGCAAAAGGAAGTGGCTGTGGAGGGGGTCTGGGCCTCTCTCAGGCTGCTCTCTCTATCACCCAGCCCCGGATAAAGCCGATGACAATGTTCTTTCGATTAATTCCTAGTGTATACTTCTTATATTTCAGGAGCCTCAGCCTGATGTCCTACCTGTGGGCCCCGTGTCCCCTGTCACCGCCCCCCTGGAGAGCACTCCTGGACCCATGAGCCCCTCCTCCATCGCCCTGCACCCATGTGTCCCAGTGCAGTGTCTGAGCCCTGGCAAGCACAAGGTCACCATCCACGACTTCAACTTCCTCATGGTGCTGGGCAAAGGCAGCTTTGGCAAGGTACATCAAAGACAAGTGTTTCCAGAACTAATTTTAATATTAATACATTTTCAAAATACTCATTAACTGTATTCAGTTACCGTAACAAATACATTTTATTACAGATTTGCTAATGCACAATTTTTTATCCCATTAGACCCAAACACCAGCTATACCCTCCTTTATATTTACCTAAGACTATAGGCGGACATTTGAGTTTGATTTTTCTCTGAGCATGGACTGTTCCAAGTTATAATTAGAGTAAATAGTCACCATCCGAGGCCAAAACTACAATTAGCTCCACAATTGTGTTCTCAAAACGATCTACGGATTAAGTTTTAAATGTACAGATAGGAGTGTAGGTGGTTAGGGTTAGGATTAGAGTTAGTCTGGCCTTAGCCCGCCGTGAACTCAAGTAATTTTTTATTTCTCTATATGTACGTCTGGGTCTAGTCCCTGTGGCTGCAGTTACGGTTGTATCCCATCCGACCAATCAGCGAGCGAGGGAGGCAGATGCTGTAGGTACGAGTCACGCCGAGTTTGCTAGTTATAGTTTAGCCATGGTTTGGCTCCAAATATCAAGAAATTGAAGCCGGAGCAAGAGGAATGTTTAGCAAATGTCACTGCTGGCAAAGATTGTGTGGCTGTACTCTCCATGGGCTCTGTTAGTGGGAAAAGAGATGGCTATGCTAAATACTAAATGCTAGCGACTCACCCGGGCAAACTCAGATCCAATCGTTTCAATCTTCAAAAGGAGTTAACCCCTCCCACCTGTTAGCGGACCTCAATGGAGCAAATCCAGCCTTAGTACAAAATTAAATTTGTATGATGGTGTGGTAAGACCAGGCTAGATTAGAGTTAGTAATTGGTTACAAAACCCAATATAAAACCATTGGCAACGATTCAATATCGCGACTTGGGATCAGAATGAAATAGAAACTGCTGGTATCTCCAATCACTTGCGCGGGAGATAGACCTTTAACTCAAATTAATAGCATACTCCTGATGAAGGACATTTTAAGGGCAGATTGTTGTTTTCACATCTGTTTCAATTAATTTAAAGTCCTTAAATCTGATAAATGACTTATAATTCCACTGAACAAAGTAAGTAAGTAAGTAAGTAATCTTTATTTATATACCGCCTTTCACAGACCAGAGTCACAAAGCGGTTTACAATTGTTATTATTTTTGGGCATTGGTCCACTCACTCCACACAGAGATGGGAGCGGGGTCGCCAGTACAGGAGGCGCATGCCAGACCTATTGTGCATGTTTTTAGTGGTAGGGGACACCGGAGTACCCGGAGGAAACCTACGCAGACACGGGGAGAACATGCAAACTCCACTCAGAAAGGCCCTGGTCCGGCCGGGATTCGAACCCAGGACCTTCTTGCTGAGAGGCGAGAGTGCTATCCACTCAGCCGCCGTGCCGCCGTGCCGCCCTGCCGCCGTGCCGCCAAACAACTTTGTTATCTTTCATCTTAGAACACACTGAGCTCGTCTGTATTTCAAGAGGCCCTTCACGCTGAGACAACAACGATTACGAGCCACTTTAAATAACTTTCTCTATTGATATCCCTGACCTTCAAATGGCATTTTATGCACAAGCGGCTGGGTACCGCGAGACATTTTATTTGCTTTGATAAATCCTTCCCTCCCACTAACCTGCCCATTGTGTGTCTTTTCCTGCCAAGTGAATGTGGGAGTCCTCACAGGGCACAACTGAGCAGCATTGAGCTTAAAGGGCTTCCAGAATGAGCAATGAACATTCATTAAAGGAACAGTGTGTAGTTTTTGCTCTTATTGGTGTGAACGGTACTACAAATACATGAACGGTACAACAAATACATGAACCATGAACCATGTTGCCAGAGCTTTCCCTGCATGTTCAGCATACATGCAAATACTGCAGTGTACTGTAGGCAGAGTCCATTCCTGCTCTACTTCACTAAAGAAACAGGCAACCCAAAAGAGAGAATTATTCAGTTTTCTGATTGGATACTTTGCTTTGCATTTTTAACAATTTGCAACAAGTCCAATGTTTGCTGCTTCGAGGTCATGCCCCCTTTCTACCACAACCCTGTTCTTCTGTGGAACAGAAGAACAGGGTTGTGGACGGATTGTTACGACTAGACAAACATCAGAACACAGCTGCGGCCGCTGGCTCTAAGCAGTCGATGCACAGAAAAACCCTTGCGTCTCCGCCACCTTTACTCACCTTTACTCTTGCGCCTCCACCCACTGCATGCCGGAGTTGGGTTTCTTCTACTACAGTAACTTTCCTCCAGTGTCCAGAGAGATATGTCTGATTCAGGATATCGTGCATACTGTTTGTCACGAGCTGAGGAGAGATATTTTGGGCAATTCTATTAACTGCAAGTGGAACATGGTCTCATTTTAAGCAATCTTTGTAATATTTCATAATTTCAGGTGAGAAAATTGTACACAAATGCAAACGTAAACGTGACCTGTACGATCCGGATAATTGGCTTGGCGTTATGTGAGTGTTTTTGTAGTTGAATATATGTGGCCCTTTCCTCTAGCGAGACGTTTTAATGTTTCTTTTTGAATGCCTGGTAATGCTGCTGTTAAAACGCACTGCAGCCCCTATGATTTTATGCTTGAGGCCCCTGGAGGCTTGAAACACCATTCTGAAAAGGTTCACACACAACAAAAGGCATCAAAAACATCACAAACGCACAACAGACACACCACAAACGCACTAGATACATGTAACTTTGTTGTGTGATTCCAGCCACTCCCACATTTTAGTTCCAGATGTCCTGTCATTCATATATAAGTCTAATCTCACTGCGATTTAGATAATATTAAGAGAGTTTGGGTTAGTCTTACTGTCTCCGGCTCATATTTCCCTGTGCTGTTTTGTAACTGTCAGCGATATACTCTTCAGAGGACAGGAGAAATAGTCTGTCCTTACGTAAGATCAGAGAAAACCCAGTTGAGACGAAACCCTGGGGTAGCAGACTCCAGGCAGAAAACCATCTCGAACAAGGATTACTGTTGAGAGGAAAATGGACAAAATGAAATGGCTTGACAAGATGGGAAAAGATGTTAAAGCAATGTATTAAGGCTTGTGTGTGTAACTGAGCCTTGTGATACTGTAGAATTAATCCCATTTGAAAAAGCCGGCAGTATCAAAGGACTTCAGTGAGTGGCAGCTTATCAATACCCTGAGTTAATTCAACAAAATAAACCTATTGGAAGTGAAAATGAGATTCCTCTATCTCCCCAAACCAGTGGCCATTACATAGGCCTTGCGGCACGGGTAGATAAATATGGAGTATAGTGCTCGGCCCAAGTTTTGTTTGAACTACACAAAAACAGCCACGTAGAAGTCGTGCCATGAAGTGATGGCCCCATTAAGTTTGAGAGGCTTTTCCACCAGACCAGTGTTCAGAGGCAAAGCAGCAGAGTGGGTTGTGTTCAGAGTTCCAGCCAATTTTAAACTCCTTTTATTTTTGTAATGAGCTGTTGCAGTCAGTTAGTGTGTATTTGGATTGTATTGCGCAGGGCTGAGGTGGGGTGAACCTATGACTTGTTATAATTTGGTCATGGAGCAAAAATAAACTGCTGCTGTCATCTCATATTTATGCATTTATATTGAACAGAGTTGTGCACTTTCTTCAGTAACATGTGGCTTCAGTGCATTGCCTTTTGCTCTATTTAATAATAATAATGCTGAACTTAGTTTTCTTGTGTTATATAGTTTATAAAGAACATATAAAAACATTCACCAGACACAGGCATGCTGAAGGTGTTGGGTGATGGGAGAGAGTGTTCCTATATGAAGACAAAGAGCTTTTTCAACCAGGTCATGACACAGATCATCTTGAGCTATATTATGCCATAGTATGTGTAATTGAGAACATTTAATGTGAATACAAATACTAGAATTGAGTATTCTACTGACTCAATTCAGTGTTGCTTCCAAACCGGCCTGACCACTCTGGCCCCAGTCTATATACAATGCGCTTCATCTGAATCATCAGATTGAGCCTTTCAACTCGTACTTTAGCCTTATCACTCAAACTTTGAAATAGTAGATGTAAAGAACACGCTGCAACATAAGGGTCAGAAAAGTTAGGGTTGGGGGCTAGGACTAGGGCTAAGGCTAGGGCTAGGGCTAGGGCTTTCAGACACCCAAACAGTGTCTGTCTGTGTCTGTGTGTCGCTATTCTGCCTGGGGTCCCAAAAAGTAAATAAAATAAAAATGCATTACAATATATTCAGATAATATTTACAACATTTTCAACATAAGCAATATAGTATACAATATCTATCTATGTATGTGTGTGTGTGTGTGTAGGTGCTGCTGGCGGAGGAGCGGGGCAGTGAGCGTCTGTTTGCTGTGAAGGTTTTGAAGAAGGACGTTCTGCTGCAGGACGAGGACACGGAGAGCGCCATGGTGGAGCGCAGGGTCCTGGGTTTGAACTCGCGGCCGCACTTCCTCACGGCTCTGTACTGCGCCTTCCAGACCGAGGTGCGCATTGCCATCACCCACACTTTCAATATAATGGATTCTCTTTCATGTCCAATTCCATGGCAGACTGGGGAGATTACTATGCAGCATTTATGGAATTGACAGCATAATACAACAGTCAGTATCCATGCCATCCTTTCAAAGCATGGTGGGAACTAAACACGGGGAGGCTGCGTTTCAGATTCATGCTGCTATCATCTGGAACAGTCTTCCTGAAAATGTGAGACAGGCTTCTTTTCAAAACAAAGTTCAAATCCAGGTTAAATCAGTTCTGTTTAGCTGTGCGTACAACTGAAGGATTTGATCTTCACACGTTTTAATGTTCTGTGATTATTTATGATTTGAATGCCTTGTGTGACTGTCTCTATCTTGTTTAGTTCAGCACTTTGCCTGTGTATGAATTGTGCTATACAGATAAACTTGCCTTGCCTTGTTAGATTATATATTCATTTAATTTAACAAACATTCAAGAGCAGGGCCACACCTCCTTTCCTTGTCCACTCCTCATTACCCTGAAAATATATATATACTGTAGTAAGTAAGTATGTCATCTTGATTTATAAAGCGCTCTCAAACATCAGCAGTGAAGGGGTCCTGAAGGGTCCCGAGTCTACAACTTGAGACATGAGCCCCCACCCAAGCATCGCAAAGCTTCATTAAGAAACATGTACATACAGAGGAAGGACACAAAATACAATACTAAAACAGAAGAATACACAAAGCGAGTAGTTTTGTAAAACACAGGAGCAGGGAACGAAGACAAAAACTGAGAATGAACCCAATGGACTGACAACAAGAGGAGAACAGAGGATACAAAATAAAACATGAACTAAAAATGAAACCAAGACATTTTAATCAATATCTATTGTTGTAGTGTGGTTCTGGCTAGTGACAAAATGTTACTAGCATTGCGGCTAATAATAATAAAAATAATACTTCTAATAATGCTTTGACTTGTACAAAAACTATGCAGATATCCTCACTTTTGATGGGAACTGCACAGATCAACAAAAAGTATTTTCATTCCCAACGGCAGCTTAACTTATTATTTTAGTTATCCAAAAAATGCAGTAATTTGGTTTTTTGTCTGCAAGGAGCTTGTTACCCTCTTCGGCTACACAGGCCAAAGCAGATTCTCAGCTTCACAAAGAGCCCCATTTGTTTATACCCCAATGAATTCACAAACAACTTCAGTTTTAATTGGGGCTATGTTAGTCAGGCGGTGCTGAGAAAACCACCAGGAGTGAGACGGAATTAACTGTACGCTTTTTGCACTAACAAACTCCTAAAAATAACCCAGGACCATGCAACAGTTTATTACACCTCCATGTTTGTATTACCGTTAAAAATCCGAATATTTTTGGTTTTGGTAACAGCTATAATTTTCATTCCACTTAGAAGCAAAATGTGGGATTCAAGAAACAAATAAGTGAGGCGTTTTATCAGCTAAATTAACAGGGATTTTTTGTAAACTAAAAACTTTAATTTTAGCCGTAGTGTGTTTGTTTGTTTGTTTTCTCCCTTGCACTCTGCTTTGTCTAATGTACTGTATTTTCTCCTGTGGAAAAACACTGCCTGATTCTTAAACAGCATGTGCCCCTCTCAGGACCGACTCTACTATGTGATGGAATATGTGAACGGAGGAGACCTGATGTTTCATATCCAGATCGTGGGGAAGTTCAAAGAGCCTCATGCAACGTGCGTTCAAACAGCCTTTTCTTCTCTTACCTTTAATCAGCGTCTCCATCGGCCGCGTCCCATTTCACGCTCTCCTCGCTCCTTTGTTCCTCCTGCACTTGTCCGTCGCTCCTTTCACCTGGGGCTGCGTGAGGATATCTGCATGAGTTGAAAGAGTAGGATTCTTTCTAAATAGTTTGCCAGAGTTCAGGTGCATGTGTTTAGTTTTACGTTCCGGTTTAGTTTGAAAACAAAGACATCTACGCTTTCTATCTCCGTGTTTTGTTTGCTATTGAATATGTGAGTTTCAAAACATGAATGATGCGGTGCGTGATTGTGGAACATTTCAATGTATTTATAGAAATATATAGAAATATATACATAGAAAAATGTTATCTCCATTGAGGCAAAAAAATATATAATGAAATCAGGTCCTCCAAAAATGTTGATTCGGTCCACTAGCATCATCCAAAAAGAAATTATACCTGTTATGTTGTTTACTTACTTACTTTCCTAGTTTATGCTTGGCTTCAGTGCAATTCATACAGACAAAAATTCACATTTGCTGTCAACAATTCTTAATTTAAACCCAAAAGTGTGATGAGCTATTATTATGTCTGGACTTCTTGGCCTTGGGCATAGCTAGCCTTATCAAAAATTGAGAATTCAGTTTTTAAAGGCTCTGGTGCTTACAGGGGTCAAGAATTTGTTTTAACATTTTTAAGTTTTAGTTTTTAGGGGCTGCACATAGAAGACAACACTCTAAAGAAAATTCTTATTTTTTGTGGATCTTTTATAAGACGTTTGTGCGCGATCGCAGACCTCAGCAACTTTTGTCTTTCTCTTCAATTTGTGAAAGATGCAGGCATTTCTGAACATCTAATGGTAAACATCATAAAAGTCTCATAATAGATCCGCAGATTGTCCTATCTAACTCAATAAACATTTTAGTATGCTGTTATAAAGATGAGAAGACATTTTAACAAGCTTGCAATGATGCAAAGTTCATATAGAAAAGTGAGTTCCTTCTCTTATTGTTTTTTCAAATTAGGGTCTCAAAAGCACAGTATCAACAATAAAATTCTGCAGAGCACGAAACACGTCTGGGTAATGCATGCAGGGGCCAAGGATCGTTTTTAATGACAACTTCTTAAGTAAAAATTATGTTTAGAATAGAAAAAGGATGCTCCTCAGTTCATTTTACAGTTCATTAAAGTAAAGGTCTGTCACTTTTCAAATTGTGAAGATGGCCAGAGATTTCTTTCTGGGGCCCCTTACCATCTGTCAAACCATTCCCCTCCTGTAAATATTAATGGTGGTGGTTACATCAAGGGGCGAGAGACAGTTTTTAATATATTTTTTATGAACATTATATTTAGATGACTGTAGATGAAATACAATTTAAGTAGCAGACATCACCTTTAAACGATGCCCGTTTCTCTAAACCACAGGAAAGGTAGTAGTTGATGCAGAATGTAGTCTTTCACTCATCAACCCAAATTGATTTATTAGTTTTGAATTTAAAACTGAACTCAAAGAGTCTTCTGAGATCTGCTGTAGGTGCAGATACGCATCTGCAGAATATATTGTTATACACTACAGCAGAAATACTAAATGTTGGCTCCCTTCCTCCCTCCCTCTCTCCCTTCCTCTAAACAGCAGCATTTCCAGCTCTGACTTTTTGATGAGGGAACGTTAAGCTTGTTTTGTTGCATATGCCGCTTTCAAAACAAGGACGAACACTGTGACATACTCTCTATATATAACTACTAAACAGTATCAATATTCCGAGCCGTTTGACTCATTTGAGCTCATTAGATATTCCTTTCATCCGCTGTGACTCGTGGCTCCGAGCTTTCAACGTTGCTTCATTTTCATCTCTGGGCTGATCTCTGAATCAATAATCTTTGATCAATCATGTACAACTAATTGTTTTTCTTGTCGTTCATTTCCCGTCTCCGTCTTTGTTAACTCACCGTTGTGTGCTGCTTGCTGTTGCCTTTCATCATCCCCTCCTGCCCCTCATGCTCACCTCTTTCGTGTCCTTCTGTCAATGATCTCAAATTCAAAGGCGAACCCAATGGACATAACTCTATCTCTTCAGGTTCTACGCAGCTGAGATCGCCGTGGGCCTGTTCTTCCTTCACAGCAGAGGCATCATCTATAGGTGAGAAATGCCTGGAAGCAAAATCTTTCTAAAGGAATGCATATTATACGAAGCTTGTAAAAGTCATAAAATTCACATCTTGCGTAGAGATGCACACATCTATTTGCATGAGGATGAAAATATGCTCCAACTTCTCTAAAGCTGAAATGAACTTAAAACGTATCATTATGTTTTGTTTATTATCTCAGTTTGTTTGTGTGTTTGTTTGTATGAATTTGGATGAAATTCAGGAAACGAGTGCAATGGTCCAATGAAGAAATAGTAAATGTGGAGTTGATCCAAATCACCTTCTAAGCAGGGTTTTTTATTCTAATTGTTTACAAGAGGAAAAATTACCTCCAATGTTGTTGTATTATCTTGAAAAAACGCATGATTGAGTATTTATTTTAAATCCATAATTCAAGATGGCATTACTCCGAGATTCCCCATTTGAACTATCAGTGTTCATCAGTTGCTGTCCACTGCCTTTGTTCAGTTACCCAGCCAAAGAGGTCCTTGAGGAAGGACCTCTCCACCCACCTGGAGAGGGCAAGGCACCTTTTTCCGGTCGAGCACCTTGGCCTCAGATTTGGAGGTGCTGATTCTCATCCCAGCCGCTTCATATTCGGCTGCAAACCGTCCCAGTGCATGTTGCAGGTTCGTTGAAGCCAACAGGACAACATTGTCCGTAATCAGCAGAGATGAAATCCTGTGGTCCCCGAACCGGACCCCCTACGGCCCCTGGCTACGCCTTTAGAAATTCTGTTCCTGCCCCCCTTCTTGTGGAGAGGGACCACCACCCCGGTCTGCCCCCGATCGCCACACAATGCTGCAGACACGTGTCAGCCAAGACAGTCCTACAATATCCAGAGACTTTAGATAGTCAGTGCGGATGTCATCCACTCCCAGAGCCTTGCCACCAAGGAGGCTCCCAACCACCTTGGTGACCTCAGCCAGGTAGAGGCATCCGCCCCAACATCCTCAGCCTCTGTCACCAGAACGGAGGACGTGACCGGGGGATTGAGTAGAAACCTCCAAGTGTCGCTGGAATTTCCCACATGGGTGTGGAAGCCCCCCAGGACAACAACAGAGTCCCAGGTCGGCGTCATGTCTAGTACCCTTCCCAAAGATTCCACAAAGGCCGGGTATACTCTGCACTGCTGTTAGGCCCGTAGGCCGCCACAACAGTGAGAGACTTATCCCCCACCCAAAGGCGGAGAGACGCGACCCTCTCATTTACCGGGGAGAACTCGTGGCGGCTGAGATGGGGGGCAATGAGTATGACCACCCCTTGCGAGAAATTCCTGAAGAGTGGAGCCCAAGCTGTATGTGGAGGTGAGGCAGACTATCTCTAGTCGGTATCTCTCAACCTCCCCCACGATTTCAGGCTCCTCCCCCCCCAGTGAGGTGAGGTTCCACATCCCAAGAGCCAGATGTTGTGTGTGCTGACTGGGTTGCCGAGGGCTCCGCCTTTGATTGCCGCCCAGTCCTCTCTGCACCATCCCACCACGGGTCCCTCTGTGGGTGATGGATCCACAGGAGAGCCTGCCCATGTCGTCCTTTTGGGCTGAGCCACAAGACGCTCGATTGCGAGCCCCAACCCCAGGCCTGGCTCCTGGGAGGGGCCCGGCTGTGCCATGATAACGTCACTGTTCTTGCCTTCGTAAAATCCATTGCGAGTTTTGGACTGTGCTTCGTCTGACTCAAACTCTCCCTGCTACGTTATGGTGGCAGTCCAGGGGGAAGTGGGTGATAAAGACCTAATTATATTGATATGGACTAGCTTTGAACCATGTGTTACATACTTTTACTTATTTTAGTTGTATTTTGAAGGACTGAAGATATTCTATTCTTGTGCAAATGGATCTCTTATAAAAGCATTCTAGCATATTGGCAATATTTTCTATCGCTTTTGCAGTTTACTATAATTCTTTGTGGTTGTCCAGCATCAGAGTTCTTGTCAATGAACCTCCTTTAACCACTGAACAACATGTTGAAATGATTGGTGTATGTGACGGCGCATTAGAAACAAGGCCGTATGTCTCCTTTACCATTTAGAGCATAACTCCTCTTGTTTTATATGCAGCTCTTTTGCTCTTTCGGCTGCAGATGACACCATTTATCATTTCCTTTGTGTCTAAAGCTCGATATAAAGTCCATATCTATCAAAATGATTTATGCGTGTGTGATGTATCTGTGCAGAGATCTGAAGCTGGATAACGTGCTCCTGGACAGCGAGGGCCACATAAAGATTGCTGACTTCGGCATGTGCAGGGAGGGCATGTTTGAGGGGGACAACACACACACTTTCTGCGGGACGCCTGATTACATCGCCCCAGAGGTACCCTGCTCTCCATGTGGTCCCTGCTAATTTAGTCTCCTTATTCTCCGCTGCCCTCTGTTAGCCCACTCCCCACCCGCTTGACCCCATTTGCAGTGTACGGCTCCATCGCCCTGTGTAACCTTGTCAGCGTTTTGGAGTAATTAACTGCATATGATTCCATTAGCGGGCTGTTGATAGTAGGAATTTAAAAGGCCCTTCGGGGGGGGTCTGCAGTAGAAATGTGCACTGTAAAAATAACATACACAAACATGGGTTCAAAAGCCTGATAATTTATTTAAATCTATTCATGATTTCATTCAGACTTCTCGAATACAACGGACATCATTTATAATTGGCAAAACACTCCAGTCACATTCCGGGTTTGATTACAGTGATTAGTGTGCAGTGTTGGGGATAATATAGATTGTGAAAATGGAGCGTTGGAATAAAACAACTTTTTTGCACAGTTTGTTATGCATTTGTATTTAATTGTGATTAGAAAACAGATCATTCTCTAGCAATACTACAAGCAAGATTTTCATTCATGGTTTTTTGTTGAAATATTGGCCCTATAACTGATTGTAACTATTTGTCAGTGTGTCGGTAGAGGCTGGAGCCGATAGCGCAATTTCGCTGCCTCACTTCTCTCAGTCTGTTCCAGGGCAGCTGTGGAAAGTCGAACCCAAGCCCCGGTGATCAAAGATAGCGGCGTATTCGAAATCAATTACTTGTGCTCAGTGGCGCATTGGGCCACCATTGGCACCGAAAGATTTGCAGAGCCCACCCATATTTGAGCATTTCTCTGGTCATACCGGTTTTGCGCAGTTGACGACCTCCCATTGAGCTTTGCACTAAATACTAACAATGACGCGTGTGTGGCTCTCATGCACGTGCACAGTGCAGGAGGAAAGTGTGGATATTAAGAAAACCAATGGATTTAACATGAAAAAAACTTCAGCAACACAAGGGACACTAAAATCCCCACAAATTCCAACCTTTATGAACGCTGTAGGTTCTCTGTCAGCTGAGATCGAGCTGTTTTCATTTATACACTGCAAAAGATGACAGAATTAAAGACAAAAAAATGCTCAAATTTGGCTAAATGTATCTAAATATGAGCACATTTTGACTGCCTTAAAACAAGATTTTCCAGTGGAACAAGAAAAATGATCTTGTTTTAAAAAGATATTTCTCTCTTGGAATGAGAAAATAAAGCAATAGTTCTTGAATCAAGTCAAAATTGCTTGTCTCATTGGCAAATCTCATTTTAAGACAGTCAGAATGAACTTAAGTCAAGTTAAAAAAAACTCGATTCTAGCAATTATGATCTCATATTTGATCATTTTTTGCAGTGTATTGAGTTCTATGGGGAAATTTTCTGGGAACCCCACATGAATTTAGTCCTATTTAGCCTGCAATACTGTGGGAAGCCCCCGAGCACATGGGTGTTTCAGCTATAAGCTTATAAGACCCTTTCCAGATATTATAATAGATCTGTGGTAGTACCTCACAAACACTGTGTGAAGTGAATAGATAAAAATACACACAATTGTATAGCAACTTTGGGACTATATTTCTGTGAAAACGCTACATAGATAAAACAATCATCTTGGACGAAGAAGCCTTATCGTAACAAGGCTGAAACTCGTCGTCAACATTAAGCACTGAAAAATAAGTTATGGAGAAAGTCATGCTCCCCTTGCTATCTTGGTCTCTCACTATTGTATTCAACGTGGAGGCTCAGTGAGAAGTGAATAACCTGGAGTTTAAAGTTTCTGGTCTTTTATCAGACAGACAGAGCTATCAGAACTCATCTTTGATTTTGTAAACCTTTGTGTGGAGCCCCTGGGTATTGAGCTTGTTATGTAAACACACATTGATTCTTCTGCAGCTGCCATTTTGGAAGAGATACAATATATTCCCCCTGCAGCTGCTCTGTATGCACACGACTCAGGCCTCATCATGAATTCCAAAGACTTTTACTCATTCATACATTTATGCTGCACTGCAAAAAGTATCATTTGCTTTGAGGAAGGGATGAGAGATGAAATGGACGAGAAACAATGCAGTTATAAAAGTGTAGTGTAGTTGTACATATTGTCCATTTTCATATGTTTTACAAATTGTCATTACACACAAAATGATAGTTGAAAAGTAAATCTTAAATGTACTCAGCTTTATTAAAGGAGACATAATATGCAAAATTGGCTTAAAATCTTAAAATCTTTTAACCATGTTACAAAGTTATTCCCTCTTCAAAAACAGATCCGGAGTTCTTTTTAGATCCATCCACGCTAATATCAGGAACATTTTGGTGGATGAATTAATGATTAATCACCTCCCTCTGGTGGTAGCATAGGGAGTTACAGGGAGAAAGAATTTCTTTATCCATCATATGTTTCACCATATTTTTAAATTCACCCAGGAAAGTCTCACTGAGATTTTGGAATCTTTATTTCAGGGGATTCTTGGTCCCCAGACAGTTATTTATAACTTCACGCTCTAAAGCATGAAATGAAACAAAGTTAATAGTATCATTATCATTATATTATAATAAATATAATATAATAGAATGTATGTAATGTATATATTTATGATATTTCACACAACTATGCTTCATGAACATTGACTTTAGTTATTTTCAGTGTAATAATAATGCATTGTGGAGTTTGTCTGTGTCTCATAGTCAGCCTGTCATTGTTCTCTCTTTCTGTCTCTCTCTCTCTCTCTTTCTCTCTTTCTCTTTTTCTCTTCTCTTTTTCTCTCTTTCTCTCTTTCTCTCGTTCTCTTTCTTTCTTATCTACTTTCTGTCAAGTCATTCTTTGCCTTCATCCCTGCTCATCATCATTCTCCTCAGATCGTGGCGTATCAGCCGTACAACAAAGCCGTAGACTGGTGGTCGTACGGCGTTCTGCTGTATGAGATGCTGGCGGGACAGGTGAGGATTGATTTTACAAAACATTTACCTTTATATAATGCTGAGGGAAAACTGCTGGAACAGAGACGTTTCTGTTTTGGCCTTAAAGCTGAGTAGTACCTAACTTTGTTTCATTGTATATGTCCCAACCGTGTTTAAGTAACATTTAGTGAACAAAGTCTATCGTTTTAGAAACACATTCTGGGAGTTGATTGGCTGAGTGAGAGCTGGTGCTCTCTTTTTCACTGGATAAACTGTTGTTAAGATGTGACAGAGACAGTTATAGAACCAAATCATTTTGCAACGTGTTTTCATGGGTCACATGGCATAGTTATTTTTGTGGTTTCAAAGTAAGGTTTAACAAAACTATTTGTCAATCATTCATTTACAGTGGTCTATCTTTGAGTTATATTATGATGTCACTATCAGTGTTCTGCATATAGTTTTCATTCTCTCTGAAACAGAAAATATGCTGCTATCTGTCTAGCTGAAAGTAGAGATAAGTTCTTACAAAGACATTGCAAAATTAGGGAGTAAAGAGTCTTGTAAAAGTAAAATGACCACTATTATTAGAAAACGGGCCATCCTTTATGTAAGAACACTGTCAGACACTACTTGACGCTTTGACCTGAGAGCTGATTGGCTGAGCAAGTGTGGTCTCTATTCATCACTATTTTGTAGAATGCTGATCTTGATAGGAATATACAAAAATATACCAATGAGAAAAGCCATTTAACCTCATGCACAATCATGTTTGCAGTAAAGAACATCCGTGTTATCACTGTTTCCTTGTGTCTGAAACCGACAGCCTCCGTTTGATGGTATCGACGAGGAGGAGCTGTTCCAGTCCATCATGGAGCAGAGCGTGTCCTATCCCAAGAGTCTGTCGCATGAAGCCGTCGCTATCTGCAAAGGAGTGAGTTAGTTTTAACACATGCACTCACATAAGCCCCAAAGCTCCAGAAAGACACATTTACTTTGCCAAACTTTCAATAAGTTCTCACCGATGTCGGATTCTCTCAGCGTGAGCCGAGTGCAAACGCGGTGGTAAAGTATTACAGTGTGAGTGACAGAAACATAGTTAACACGAGGACTCCCACCGTTCGGAAGCCCCTAGAACTCCCAGATCCAATCAAATACAGTTTTTCACTACATTAAGTTTTTTAATACATGCCAAAATGTGTTCATATAGTTACCTCGAACGACAGCAATAACATCTTGTTGTGATGCTACTAAATGCTAACGGTATGTTGCTATGGTAACTAACACTTGGTCCAAGGTGGGATTGCTCTGAATCAGTCCAGAACCAGCGCCTTGAGAAAAGAGTTGTTTTGACTGCCGTAGAATGTTGGTTGCCTGGTGAATGAAAAATCCTTTAAATGAATTTGGCAAAAATAAAATATAGGTTTCATAATAATAATCTAGTTTTAATAATAATAATGAAAAAAAGTAGATATAGATACAGAAAAAGTATCAAAGTACATGAGCTGTGTATTTACATTTCAAAAACTAAAAATTATTAAAACTAAAAAAAATGTCACTGCTCTGGGAGTTCTGGTGTTAAGAGTTAAGTTACTTTGACATTTGACTTTGGTAAATTGTTTAATCTATAATGGTTTTTGTTATTTGAAAAAAAAAAACCTTTTCCATATACTTACATGCCCGTCCTTTGTATTGACCTTTGTATAATAAAGATTGTTGAAATACATTTTGTGTCAAATATCACTTGCCAAAACTACCTCACAACAAGGAAGTGCAAAGAAGGATGAGAAAGGAGGTATTTTTGGTGGATTTGGATGCAGCGAAAGGCAGTAAATATTTCACAGTTGTATCTACAAAGTAAACAAGGGCTAAAGCTGTCTATCGACTAACTATTCTCATCTTCTCAAAGCTTCTGGAAACGGTATAATATGTAATAATAAATATGTAAGAACAGAATAAAAACACTACATCCTGTTGCCCTGATGAAGTCTTTGCCCTCTGTCTGTCCACAGCTGCTGACCAAACACCCGGCCAAGCGCCTGGGCGGCGGGGAGGACGGCGAGCGGGACCTCAGGGATCACGTGTTCTTCCGCTGGATCGACTGGGACCGACTGGAGAGACTGGAGATCCCGCCCCCTTTCAAGCCCAGAGCTGTCAGTCAAACACTTTGCACTACATACACAACCACATTTAGGTTGGATTTGAATATATTTGAGCGGTATTGAATTGGTTTGCTTTATTGTTTGAGAAACATTCCAAACATTGAGTTTTCCCTCTCTTAGGACAAGGAGCATAAAGTCAATTTGTTTCACTGCGAGGTTCATAAGGCTGTACCTCCGCTGTCTTGCTCATTTTTTTCCAATGTAATCAAATAATATCTGTTTTTTTACATATGATTGTGTTTTAAAATTAGGAATTACATTTAATGCACATGAAAAAACACTGCATCTATTCTTAACACGTTTTACGACAGTCAACATTATCAATAATAATATCAAGATAATGTTAATTATTATTATTTATTTATTTTATTTTATTTTTATTATTATTTCTATTGTTATTTTTATTTACTATTCTGTTATTATAATCATTATTTATTTATTTAGTTATCAGTTTATTATTTTGAGCTTCTCTGCCCATTACAAGGGAAAGGGGATATGGGGACCAAAAGGGGGATAAAAAGTCAAGTGTGATGCATGCTAATCAGTGCAAAATGTGAATACATTGTCAAATACATTGTCATACTTGAACAAAAAATGTATCACAAAAAAAACCATTATCAATAAAGAGACTAGAATTCCTGTTATTCTAAAATTGAAATATTGACAATTTTGGAAGATTCATCTTGTTTTTGTAGTAGAAATAAAAGTATTTAGTTCTTCTATGTTAGACAATTGTAGGTTAGTGATGTTATTACCTAAAACTAAACTTAGGTCAGAACATCGCAAACGTACTATTGTCTGGTACAGAATAACCAAATACTTTTATCAAAATTTGACACATATTTAAATTAGCTTTCTTCATTTAAAAAAAAAAATCTAAACTAGGATTGATTTTTTTATTACCAAAACTTTACCACAACCAGCTGTCACCAGTTTCTCTTAGTTTCACAAACTTTAAATATGTTTTCTTCTTTTAGACTTTTCCTCGGCTATTGCACATAATTATTGTATTTACTGAGGGGTCGGTTGTGGACAATTTGCAGGAAAGTGTAAGTGAAAAGTGCGGCGTCTGGGGCTGCAGCCGAATGTGTGGAATGTGTTAATGATCCCATGTCTCATCAGGAATGCTCTCAGCTCTGTCTTTCATGGGTTCAATTATAAAGTCCCTCTCTGCACCTTATGTTTCCTCGTCAATATTTAATTGTATTTTTATTGATTATTGATTCTGGAGGGAAATCACCTAAGAACTTGTGTCTCACTGTGCTCTTCAAAGGAGAGACACAAACGTTTTTTAAATTGTGTTTTGGTAAAATTGTGTCTTGAATATTATATTTGACCAACATGAATCTGGATTATTAGTTAAATGATGTCTATCTATGAATGCAAACAAATCTATGTTTAAGTTAAAGCTGGGGTACCTAACTTTCAAACCACAATGAATGGAAGTATGTGTGTGTTAAAACCCATGCAACAAATTCCTCAAAATATTTTGTATTATTATAATAATTAGTTCTTTCATTAGTTTTCACATGCATGTATTGTTGGCCTCTGTGAAAAAGTAAAAAAGAGAATACCATCAACTCTCACCCCAAAGCGTCAAAGGGCCGTATGCAAAGGATGACACATTTTACTTTTAAATGACTCTTTGAAACAAATTAAACAAGAATCGGTTTAACATTAGTACTTAATGTCATACAAGTCAAAACAGTTGAAGAGCTCACAACAGTAGGTATTCCCAGACTGGTAAAAACATTAAAATACCCAGAGTGTTGGCAACCTTGGGAATAAAAAATAAAAAAACATGATTTGGTTGTATTTTGCCTCTGAATAGAAATTATGCCCATATTTTTTATTTTGGGCATAATTTTTATTCAGAGGCAAAATAAAAATAAAAACTATAAACATGTAGTGCTACTAGTAAAAATAATGAACACTGTAAACAGTAGGTACTTTTAAATACATGTCACAATACTGTCCAACTTCAGGAGTGTTTCTGTATGAGTTAGATAACCGTCTATGCCACATCATAAAATAAACATGTTATGAATGCTAAGTTTAAGGCAGTACAAAGGCTACATCTAGCTCTGATCTCTAATTGCCGTAAGAACAAATCTAAAGTCATTTAAACTCCTAGTTATTTCTTTTTGCAGTCAGATGATTTGAACCAAGGCTGGGTGCTCTGTGGGGGGGGTCGCTGCAGCAGCGACCCTGGAGGGCTGCATGTAAATGTGACATCATTAGACTGCGGTCGGTGGTGAGGTGTGCGGAGGGTCAGAGGGCCGGCCTATTAACCAAATGAGACCCCCGTCATTCATACTGTCGGTGTGAGCAGACGGGGAGCGCATTCATTAACTGGACCTTTCACTGTTTGTTGCAGAGATTTGTCTTGAGAATATATGAGGAAGATTCACACCAAATGTCAGACTCAAACTCGGGCGAGCTTTATTGAAAATGAGAGAAAACAGTTCAAAGCACCTCAAGAGGATGAAAAATCACACTCTCTGGAAAATGTTGCTGAGCAGCTCTGATCCAGACTGTGGAGATTGTGTCCAAATAAAATAACTTTATAATACAAGGGTTGGACTCTTGAGATTTTGAATTTCCACCTGACTTTCAACGTTCAAGTCATTGGCGGGATCAGAGATCACATAGACGCTCTATATCAAAGGCGGTCTTTGCTCTTGTCTTTTTCTCGTTTGGTTCAGATGTTCCACAGCTGAGTGTTTCGTCTGTGTGTCCTCAGGGTGGAAGAAAAGGAGAAAACTTTGACCAGTTCTTCACTGGGGCTCCGGCGGTGCTCACTCCCTCCGACCCCGATGTCCTCGCTGCCATCAATCAGGAAGACTTTGAAGGCTTCTCGTACCAGAACCCAAACTACGCTCCTTCTCCTCTCACTGCTGTTTGAGAGCAGCTCTGTGCTTCTCCCAAAAGTCCTTTTATTACTCCGCTGGATTTAGTTAGATTTTCTTATTGTTTGTGTCCCTCGAGTCATTATACAGATTCAGCCCACATCTCTCGTAGTTAAAGGTTTGTTGCATTCAAGTATTCTCATTTCTACTGTTGCAAAAGTAGATTCTTCAGGAAAAAAAACAGGTTCATGGAAAAGTAAGACTTAATGAGCTAGAACATTACACTATCTAGGAAACATAATATAATTATTGATATAATGATGTATGTATCTTTACAATCGTTTGTAGATATAGGAGGGAACAGGATTTCTGAAAACATCATATATAAATATTATTTCTCTGTGAACCCCACTACATACAGTACCTTTCCTGCAGCAGCGTCCACCACTTACTCTCTTTATTGAGATACTGTTGGTTTGCCTGAATTTTCTACATTATGACATTACCACTTCTCTGTAGACAACGTCTCAATCTTTGGTCTTTTAAAGCCATACTGTGGAACCGTCCATATTAGTGTGAATGAAGACAGGCCGGTGGGTCGTCCTGTGTATTCCTCCAGTTTCTGTGTATGGTCATTCTTTAAGAACGTACAGGATGAACGTCTGATGGTGCTAGTGGACACATGACATGTTGGATTCTCCCAGATCTTTCATACTCAAATGTTTACACAACAATGAAGACACCTTCTCTCACTGTAGACCTGACTCCATGTGATCCGCTCATTTAACCATGACATTTTAGTTTTGTATGTCTAAATAAGTCTTTAGTGTGGAATTTATAATTAAGCACAATTGTCTACAGTATGCATGCAAAGCCCACTCTGACGTGTAGCTAGGTTTTTCTAGTGTTTGTAGGGCTGTACTTTTACTCTATAGACGTCAGACTGACTTCAGTCACTCAGAAGAGGAAATAGACACTGGATTATTTATTGTGGTCAGAGCCACTGATTCTCTATTGTTTATGTTGATGAAAGTCATATATATTTATTTGTAATAAGAAAAAATAAAAATGAACTGAAAAAGTGTGATTGATCAATATAAGAAAATAAATGTTTTTCCATATCACCCAGCATTAGTGTGTGCCCTGCGCCAACGTCAAAACTCTTTAATCTTTCCTTTGTTTTTTTAAGTATTTATTCATTCATCTAATTCTAATCGATCTGTAATATTAATGTAAGTGATGACGAGAAAAATGTTTTTAGATTGATACTTTATTGATCAATTACTCACATAGTCCGTGGAACGTTACAAAACAACATCTTTGCTGCGCTCGTATTTAGAACTCTTTAAGTAAAGAGTGAGTCCAAAGAGATTGTTGCTGTTTTCCATTTCAATGTTACTTTGACAGTGTTGTGTGAGGTGAGCTCGCTGTTATTTACTGTTGGCTCCACTGACTTCTGACCAAGTGACATTTTGCTGTGACACATGCGACTACAGCCCAGTGCTCTCCTGGTCATCGGCTCTAAGCTCGCAGACGTTTCCATCTTCTCACATTAACAGCGTCTTTGAGCCAGGACACTGACCTTATAATACACAAATATAACTATTTAGACCCAGGACTCTGTGCTGAAAGAGGAGGACCAAACAGGAACACACAAACCAGTGAAGTGAGACACAGCCACTAGCTCTTTATTCACACAATACACAAATACACAATATAAACGTTTCATTTGTCATTATGAAGTGAAAGGTAAAAGGTTGCACTGCTGTCACTGACTACATTAGCCGGACACCTCAGGGCCATTGTCTCATGTAGATCACTCACATGCAGGAGAAGGATTACGTAAAGGAGCCATAGAGAATGACTTTAATCATATTTAATTTAAGAGCCACTGTTTAGTTTCAAACAAACGACTTGTTAATCTACATCACATTCTGTGTTCACACTTGTTCTTTGGGGTATTTATTATCGATGTAAATACAATTGGAATAAACAATATTCCTTGTTTATTCGAGCTCATTTGACTTGGCAAGGGAAATATTTAATCACAAGAACAAAACATTGTGTAATTGAGTATTTTGTTAAACTTCAATGAGTAAAGACAACATCTGTTTTCCCTAATCATTTATCCTCCATTAATTTAGCTTTATTAGGGCTATAACAAGTTTTCACAACCAATCAATTGTTGAAATAGCTTTCAGCTAATGTAGTAATTGATTAATGGTCTTTTTAGACCTCACATAAACTTTAAAACATGCTGAGAAGAGCTTTTTTGATTCAGGTAATTCTAATGACCGCAGTAAAAAAAAATAAAAAAATAGAAATGTGTTGACACAGCATTTTAATCAAACAAGCAAATGTGTAACAAGTGCAGAGATGTTCTCCAGTGGTATCTAGTGTGTGTGTGTGTGTGTGTGTGTGTGTGTGTGAGTATTCTTACAGCCCCCACTGCAGCACTCTCAAAGCCACTTTCTTTTATGTGGAGCAGATTTACGTCCTCCTTTAAGACAACATCATTAGAATAATACGACAGGAGAGGAGTGTCAGCTGCAAACCCCCATTTTGCTGCGTAATGACGTACTTTGGCCATTGATTGGGCGTAATTAAAAGTGAGACTCAATGGGGCAGTTCAATACATGGAAAATAATAGCAGCAACGCCGTTAAAACCTGATTTAAGCAAAGGCAGCACTGTTATCTTGGGCCGCAGCTGGTCAGTGCCTGAACGCCTGCAGGCTCTGAATTTCAGAGTTCCATTTTGCTTCGGCCGTTTGTTTTTCGAGCAAATTGGAATAGGACATTATTTCTGTGCTGAGTGAAGCACAAATTTGTCTGAATGGTGAAAATGGGATGTTCACCACAGACAGTGAGACAGAAGTGTGAGGTGAGCTGCTGCATGTTCCGCACAGAAGGATCTTTTACTCCCCATTGATTTCATGTAGTTTCACATCGAGCAATGAGTTTTGTTCCCAGTGGTGAAATGTTGTAAAAGGTTTTGGTGTTATATCTCTTGCTGCATTTTTAGTAAATGAAGCAGGCAAGCAGAGAGTAGGTATGATCACTGGAAAGGAAATAAAATGGTGTAAATATATATATATATTATGAACTAGATATATATATTATATGAAAAATAATGTGTAAGTAGTTCCTCAATCAACAAACACACACATATACACAAGCACACAGACACACACGCAAACACAGAAAAACACGCACACCTACGCATAAATACACGCACATTCATCTGCACACACACATACACTTATGCACACATATACACACACCTGCGCATGCACACACACATACACAAGCATACAGACACAAACACACACACACACACAGAAGATGATAACCTGTGTGTACATAAAGAGTAGTCAAACCAGCAAAAACCTCTTCACTGTTGTCAACATTCAGATAAATTATAGTTTGAATCCAGATCAGGACATTTTGACTCAAAGTATTTCTGGCTCTTTTCAAGATAATTTAGCTTGAAATGAGTGAAATGTACGTGTGCACCGCTCTCCACACTCACTGGAAAACAAATTAAAATGAGACAAATCTTGTAGGAAAATTAAGTTTCTCCGTGTGCAAAGAAGAATTAAAAGTGCGCGAAGTGTCATATTTATCTTAGTTTCAGAATGCGTTGGCCGTCTTCTATTGATGATAAAACAAGTAAAAAATATATTAGAGCACTCCAATTGAGCGAGTGTTATAGGCTCAATTCCCTCGAGCTAAAATGTATCAAATTTCAAAATACCTGAAGGAGGAATGGTCATTTAGAGATTCACTGTGTCACTTTTCTCATGACACACCGTTTGCCCTATCGCTCTGTACTTTTTCTCTTTCTGTAAGATCAGCTGAAGCACGGCCACATCAAAGGCTTGGATCAAACGACAAATTAAAGGGACAGTATGTAATATTTTCCTTTTCAATTACACCTACATCTTTACTCAGTGGAACTATGTCATTTTGATTTCTAGAGATGTACAAATCTACATCTACAAATCACAGTTGACCTTCCCTAAACAAAAGCTTGAAGTGGAGTTATGAATTATAAGTTTATTCGTTTCATATGTATTGAGTAAAGTTCTCATTTGGGATGCTAGTGTTTTGGGTTTTTCTAATCTGCATGTTTTGGCACTTCAAAAAACTTGGATAGCATATTGCAAACAGCTTTTTTAAGTTTTTTTTTTTTTTTTAGCTTATTTCATGAATGCTTGTGCAACGTTGCTGAATCATCCTCGTAAAAATGATTCAGAAGTTAATTATGAGGAAAAAAGTACATAAAACTGTGTCAGCATTTGTAGTGATCAAGGGAGTCAGGGGGGTCTTTCCTCTGGGATAATATAGATTACTCACGGGCGCATAAATTATTCTAAAAACCACATTTGATCACCTAAATCAAAAACCAAAACAACTGAGACATGTGCAAAAGCTGTGAAAGGCACGTCCCCTTTAAATCATTTGAACTCATTTGGACTTGACTTCTTTTACAGCGCGGTGCAGCCTCTCTCTTCCCTGCATCACAATGGGACATGAATATCCCACAGAGATCTCGCTGGAAGAAGTCGACCTTCACATTCAAATCTCATCAGCTCCATCCCCATCGCTGTGTCTAAATCTGCCCCGCGCCACGTCCACAGCCCCGTCATCTGTCATCGCTGCTCCAGAAATGCACCGTTCCACTTTCTATAAATCAAAATGACACTTTGTTACTGTTGAGATCATCTACTGAGGCCTCTTAAGGCGGTGGGATGTGGCCAGAGGACTGTTGGACCAGAAGTCACCGCGGTGCCGTAGCTTGTACTTGTAGCAGGCGTCAGAACTACTTTGGAACGACTCTAAAACTTTTTTCTGTATCTAAAAACTCGCTCAAAATAATTATAATGATTCGTGCCTGTTTGAGGACAGTACTTAATGCACTTGCTATAAACATGTACTTGCTATAAACCACGCCAGCTAAATTGTAAAAGACAGTAGATTCAAGATAAGATAAACTTTCATTCGTCCCATCAGTTTAAAATAAGTTTTCCCCACATATATATCTTCACCGCTAAT